AATAATTCAATAGATTGTTATCAGGAGATGCTTTAAATCTTCTGTTTAACAATTGTCAAATTAGTAAAAATACAGCCTCTTTATAGATATCATATATTATTCATACCATAATATAATATATTTCCAATTGAGTTTAAATACAAAGAAGTTTTCACAAAGAATATTTTCATATTCATATTTCGATATGAAAATATAAAATCTAAAGAAAAGATAAAAAATATGAGTAGTATACACTATTACTGAAACTAAATGAAAATATTGTAAATGCTAATCTCGGAAACAGAAGAGCAAACATGCCAAGTTCCAAGGTTGGTTTCTGATCAATAAAAATAACAAGATAGTAGATAATACTCGAATTATTCATGTTGTTCAACGCAATAATAAAATAAATAAAATAGATGACTACAATAATTACTATCATTAATCACTTGTGAGAAGTTTTATTACTTCTACTGCATACTAGCTGTATGCAAAAATGCATTATAACTTGTAATGCCAACAATAATCACTAAAGAGAAGATTTTATATATCATTATCATCATTAGCTATATACCCAAAAAATACTCGATCACCTTCTGCAATTGTATTGAGAATCAATGTCAAATCAAAAGCTGCTTCAGCCAGCCCGCCGGTCCGTCGATTTGTGGCCCACAAGAGATGAAAAGAATCCATTGTGCTTTCGTGTTTATTTGCATTTAGATTAGGGCGCAAAAAACAGAAACGGCCGGCCCACTTCTGTTTTTAAGCAAAGCTTAATTCATGAATAAAGCGAAATCAATAACCAAATAAGCAAATGGCTAAATGACAGCCACAAAAGGCAGCTGAAACGCGAAACATGTCGCAGATGGTGTCAAAGCTGTAAATAAGTAAATAAATATAGACCACAAACGATGTGGGCGAGTGTCTGTGTGTGTGTGTGTGTGAATGTGTGCCTATTAAAATATGTGAACGAATGCTGTCGCGGGAGCGAGATGAATTTAATTAAAATGTTGACCGACAGACCAACAGCCAGCTACGTGTGTATAGTATGTGTGTGTGCATGTGTGTGTTTGGTTGTGCAACTGTGCGTATGAGTGACATTAATGCGAGCACTGAAGCTGGTCAGGAAGAGGGACAAACAACACACGAGCAGCAGCAGGAGCAGCAGCAGCAGCAGCAGCAGCAACACCAACGCATTTTATGCGTGCTGCTCATTGTTGTTGTTTGTGCTATTTATGCGCCTGCGTCTGTCTATACACGAGTCTCTGTGTGTGTGTGCGGTCGGTTCATTTGTATGCGTCGCCTGCTGGTTTAAAAATAGAACAAGCTGTTCTCGCCTGATGTCCTTTTAGCCAGCCCAAACATCTCCCATCGCACCACCACCTGCCCGACCACCCACTCGCAGCTGCCGCCCCCTCAGGCAACTGGCTAGAATTTATGGACGAAAATATAAAACAGGAGAGTGTTACACTCATACACATACAAACACACACACACACACACACACAGCACTCAAACACAACAAACACAAACTAAAACGAAGTTTGTTTGATTTTAGCTTTTATTTCTTTCATTATTATTATTTTATTTATTTATTTACTTTTTTTGGCTTGTGCGTTTTGCACAATGCGATAATTGTGCAAGACTTGACACTCACACACGCATACTTACACACACACACACGTGTGTAACAAAGGGCAGCCAACAAGCGAGTGAGCGTCCGTGTGTTTGTATACGGTATTGATTTTTGCCTTCTTTTGCGCCTTCTTTTCTTCGTTCGCCTTGGCCATCTCTTTGCCACCATCGCTTCCTCTCGTTCTCTTTCCGCTCTTTCGCTGCTGCCTCAATGTGCGTGAGTTTCGCCATTTGACTTTCAAACAACACTGCACGATAATAACAAAAAACACGTGTTCTTTGAAAGAAATAAAGAAATATAAATATTTTTAGTAAATTTATTTAAGTTGAACTCTAACTTTTTCAATATGTACTTAGTTATTTCTTAAATAATGCAATATTTATGATTACAATATTAATTTTTAGGAGCGTTACACGCAGAGTTACCGAGCCAAAATTGAGCTTTGATCTCTAAATCATATCTTTATCTTTCAGTAGGCCCAGTATTAAACTAGAAAATTTAAGTTTTAGACATCTTTAAGAATGGAACTTCAGTGTGTAATAACCACTTATACGTATTAATTAAACAGATTCTTCTTGGGCTTCTGATTGCTGAAAATATACACAATATTTTAGTATTCTTTAAGAAAACTTTCAAAAATAAAATTTGCACTATTAGGAAATGAAACTGATTTAGTTCAATCCAAGCAGAGTAATCCTTTCCAAAACTCATTAGGACAGGTCTCACAAGAGTGCTATAACAGAACTGCAAACTTTTAAAAAATAATCTAGATATGTAAAATTTACTTTACTTGGCCTTTGCTTAGCTTTGCTTTACTCTCGTAAGTTCCTTTGTTTTCGCTAAACCGCCATCGCTGCATTTTCTCATGTAAATTTTGATGTTATTTATTTATTTATTTTATATATGTTTTTTTTATATTTATTTTCTGCGTAATTTTGTAGTCGTTACGAGCACAATAAACGTTTTCTATCGTGACCAAAGTCAAAAGAAACTGTGCCAGGGGTATGGCCCACAATGGGAGGACAACTACCGTCTGTGTGCGTGTGTGTGGCTGTGTTTGTGGGGCACGAAACTAGTTTTCATTCAAGCGATGAGTGTGTGCGCTTGTGAATATGTGTGCGTGTGTTTGTGTGTGTGCAGAGCTTAAGAAATGGCCGCAGTTCATTTTTCAAGCAATTTACATTGTGCTCACAGCTTGTAGCTAAACAAATTATGCTGTAGCTGAAGATATACTTATAAATTAATTATAGTCTCGCCTGAGCACTTGTCAACTTTAATTTATGGAGCCTCGCACTGTACATCAAACATAATTATTGATAATCAAGCCAGATATTAAGTGTAAATTATAAGCTAGCTATAAATTAGTTTAGTCTAAGTAATGCGCCCTCAATTCCCTAATGCCATTATTTTTATTTACATTATAAAAAATATATTTTCTCTACTCTCTCTTTCTCTTTGTTACTCCGATGTGCGACCCCTGAAAATCCCACAATATTTGTATGTTGAAACTTGCCCAATAAAAAAAAAAAAAAAAAAAATGTAAATATTATGCCCGCCACAAACTATTTGCCAATTCGAAAACTGTTCACAAATTTTATTGCAATAATTACAACAACAACAACAACAATAACAACAACAACAGCAGGTAATTTTGGCGTCGTGCAAAGTGTCCAAACAAATCTCTCGCCCGGCGATCTACAGATTCATGCAAATGTAAGCAAAGATAAATAACAGAAAAAACAACAAAAAACAAAATCAAGAGCAATTTTGAATTTGATAACATTTCTAATGCGTGTCTGTATTTTATTGTTATCGGTTATCGTTTTCTTATGATTTGTGATTTGTGAAAACACATACAAAATGGAATGTACATTTTACCCACTGTGTCGTCTATTTCTCTTGGTCTCTATTTTATCTCTCTCCTATCCAAAGTTTCGTTCGTTCGAGCACCTTTCACAGCCCACATTTTTGGCCTTTTTTACTCGTTTCACATTATTTTTTTTCGATGTGTGTGATTTTTCGATGTGTGAGGCGAATAGCTGCCCCTCCTGCTCCAACACTTTGTTACTGTTTGTTTCTTTTGTTGCTTAACAGATCCTTTCACACCTTCAAAGTACCGCTCGATGCGCTGTGTACACACTTATTATTATATATTATATTCCTCTTACGTTTCTTTCTTCCAATTTCTTCAATTACTCTTTTGAATTACTTGTACTTGTATATCTAAAAACAAAAAACAAAAAAAAAAAATTAAAAATTGAAAAAACAAAACAAATACGTGAAGAATTTGCATGGATATCGTAACGCTGTTTCCAGTTTCCTCCTTACTTCAACACAACAACAAAACACACTTGAGCCCAACATCTCTGAAACACACTTCACTGCCTCACTGAACAGTTTAGACCTACACACACTCACGGCCCCTCCTCCTGCTCTCCTACTCACTCCAAACGGACAAGCAAACCACTAGCTTAATTAAGGCCCTACCTAGCGCAAAACATTTTATGTATATCTTAGCCACTGCAGATAAGTATGGTACAATAGATTTTCGATATTCTCTGAATATACCCATATCCAAGACCTATGCACCTATCTCTCTCTCTCTCTGTATTTGCCTGCCTTGTATGGCATGCTCCATGTACGTTGCTCGAGATCCCAGCACCTCTGAGAAACTTCTACTACACGTAAAACATTTGTATGCTAGGTCTTAAGGCGCAATCAAGTTTTCTAAGTTCCAGATCTGTCAAATGCTTTGATCTTATGGCACCGACATAGCTTTTTAACTGTAACTTAGGTCTGTCTCCCCTTAATCTACATATAATCCTTACTCTAGCTAACATACTACATACATTAATACAATACTATACAATGCACTTAAGGATCTATCTTCAGCAACTGGCTCAGCTATACATATTGAAGCTTTTGAGGAGCGACATTTTAATGATTACTTAAGATCGGATGGGAATGATTACTTAAGTCGTTCTCAACAGCTAAACTTATTGACAATGCTGAACATAGTTCCTTCCCATAACTTAAGGTCTTTACGCTCTTACGTATTTTATTTAGATTTCACCATCAATCGACAATCAACTGAAAACATCCAACTCATGAATAAATATATGAAAACTGTATATATATATTTCCTTATATGGCACTTGTTAAACATTTCTCGCCGTAAGTTTTACCACAAAGGACAACAAACTAATGTCAGGCAAATGAACCCACAGAGAAGGGTATTCGAAAATTCGAGCAATTGAGTAACCCTATAAATACAAATCAGAGTCTCTGCCCCGCCTCCCCTCTTAACCCGCCCATTGACCCACAAAGTCGAGTCGATAGAGTATATATAAATGCCAACCATTACTAGTACCTCCTACATCTACAGGCGGGCGTCTCCAAGTGCGCACGGATCCTTGGCGACAGCAGCGCAGCCTCAACGAGCGCGATCTACTGACAGTAGGCTCGAGTGACTATCGGCTGCTGGGCCACACGAATCAGCGGCTGTACGCCTCGGCGGATCAGCGGGATCGGTATGAGCTGCAGCTGCAGCATCGCGAGCGCCTGGAACAGTATCCGCTGACGAGGACCGCTCGACTGGACGTGCAGCAGCGCAACTCGCTCAATCGCAGCAATCACGAGCGAGCGGCTGGAGCTGGTGGGGCTGGTGGTGCAGGTGGAGCAACTGGTGCTGCCTTTCGTCGGGCACCGCCCTTGGCCGCAGCCAGCGGCTGCGCTGGTGGCAGCAGCAGCAGCAGCACCAGCAGCAGCTACTATCCACAGAGCTACAGCAAGCCGCAGATTGTCATTGGATCAGGCTCTGTCTATGAGCGTGGCGCGATGTCGGCAGCTGCTGACGGCGTGCGAGGCAGCCTGAGCCGAGAGCGCGGCCTGCTTGGCGCTGGTGGTGGTGGCGGCGGTGGCGGCAGCAGCTCCCTCAGCTCCACGGAGGCCGCCTACTGGGATGAGCCAGCCACCAGTGGTGGTGGCGGCGGCGGTAGCACATCATCGTCGTCGGCGGCGCAGGACTCGCGCCGCTTCACCGAGCGCAGAATAAAGAAAACGGTGCGTTTCGATGCGCACGATGACGAGTCGTCGCTCCTGGTGGCCCCGGGCACAGGCAGTGGCTCCTTGCCACCAGTCACCGCCATACTGCCCTCGACGGCTGTGGATGTGGGCACGGCGACTCTGCTGACCAGCGCGAAGCTGGCGCAGCCGCTAGACGGCGACTGGTCGCGCTGGGAATCCGAGCGGCAGGGCAGCCAGGACTCGGCCACTAAAGACTCGGGCATTGATACGAGCAGCACCTTTACCAGCAGCGAGGACTCGAACCGCGGCGACGGCCCCAAGGTACACGACAGCAACACCCACAGCGCAGGCAAAGCGAACCCCTAAACATGAAAGAAAATTAAAATCCAAACTGAGCCCTTGATACGGGCTGCCAAATTGCATTTTGTCTGTGTAGAGTCTGAGTGTGTCCCAGGTCCCTCTGTCCCTCTGTCTGTCTGTCTGTCTGTCAGTCAATCAGTTTCCTTATAAATATGTTTCTATCTATATACTCCCACTATCCTTCTACACCTCTCTCTATCTATGTCTTTCGCTCTCTCTCTCTCTCTCTCTCTCTCTGTCTTTATCTTTTTCTTTGTCTTTACTAAGCTCCGTTTGTTGTTCTTGTTTTTTCCTTAACTTGAAAAATAAATTACCTTTCACATATATTGCCTATGTAACGCTCAAAGTCTATTAGACCCCGAATATCCTTTTTAGTTTGCATTCTTTATAGGCCAGATATCTCTCTCTCTCTGTCTCTCTCTCTCTCTCTCCTAGTTGTAAAAGCAATTACCCCGCCAAATGCAGCCGATATCCATTTACAGTACCAACAGCCATAGAATAACTCTTAACCATACAAATGCATGCCGAAAAACATACAACAATTCTACATCATTCCACTAACTGTAAAATTCCTTTGCATGAAGAGACGTAGGCTCAAGTCCTTGGCTACTGAGCACGTTTTTATTCCCAGTTCCAGTACCTGTTCCAGTTCCAGTTCCAAATCCCATTTACTCACACTACAACATTAGCTAGATACCTTCCACATTATCCACAACTTCCACATGATATCTTAGCACGTTCTTTTCTTGCATGTTCTTTAAATGTTGTAAACGATCCGTAACACATTTTCAAACATATTTCCGAATTTGAAATTTGCGAATTTAATATGACTTTTAATTGAATTTAATGATCTAATTGCAAAAGCTACGTGTGTGTTCTCAAAGTAGGTCTATAATACTAAAACTTAACTCAAATCGAAATGTGAATGACAACTACTATTCTATATACTATCTAACTACAATATCCTAACAGCCTATCGTAGAAACTGTTTCTAGCTTGTAAGAAAAACAAAACTGAATGTATAAAAAACAAAAACAAACAAACAGAAATGAAACCAAATGTATAAAATGTCTTATTTTTTTTAAATATTTAATTTTCCATTGTTGTTCGACTTTGTTTATGTATTATTTTAACTAACTGTAAGTTCTTAAATTAAGTCATATATCTATATATTTATATGTGTATATCGATGTATAAATATATAGATATATGTATACATAAGACTTTTGTATAGTGCAAATCTAAAACTATAAACCATTCTACTTCCTGCATACGAACATCGACATTTGCTTCACCAAACAAATACCACAATCAACAATATCTAAACAAAATCTATGCAAAATTGACATCCACGATCTCATCCCGACACCCGATCGATCCAACAAACACCCATCCACCACCAACACCATCCACCCACAATGCGTGTACATACATACATCATGTGTCTATAGAATCCGGTGAATTGGCAAACATCCGCGGATAATACTCGCATGATTGGTCACATGATATTACGTAAATACTATGATGGGGAAGATATATTAGGCTTAAAGGTGAACGGCGGCCAGCCCGTGGGTCTCGGAGGCCCATGCAGAGCCATTGTGGAGAAGGTGAAACGCGGTTCGGTGGCCGACGTCGAAGGCTGTATACGACCAGGTAAAGGCCAAAAATCTCGCCAACATCTCTCAATCATAACTCATATATCTCTTTCTCTCTATCTCTGTCTCTTTCTCTCTCTGTCTCTCTCTGTCTATCTTTCGTTTTGCCGTTTCATTCACCACAACATGAACAATCATTAAACAATCGATTGTGAACGCTACGCAGGCGACGAGATCATCGAGTGGAACGGACGCAGCCTGCACAACAAGAGCGCGGACGAGGTCTACGACATCATCGACGAGAGTCGTCTGGATGCACAGGTGGAATTGATTGTGGGTCGATCGCTGCTGCTGCCATCCAGTGGCGCCGGCAGCGTCGACAGCGGCAGCAGCAGCAACGTCAGCCCCAGCAGCGCATGCTCTGGCTCGGGCAGCAGCGTCACCCGGCGCTCCTCGGCCAACTTTCCGCACAGTGGGCTGGCGAGCAGCATGGCAGCCAGCGCAGTGGTCAGCAGCGGAGGGCGTTACCTGCAGCGTAAAGGTGTGTGTGAGTGTGTATATGCGCGTGCGTGTGTGTGTAATGGAGTCTCTACGATTAGTTGTAATAGAAATGAACTTTGAGAAAGACTTAACAGTAATCGTAATCAGGTTCCAGAACATTTATCTTGGCTAGGACATGTAGATCTACACTTATAGGATGTATGTGTAAGCCACACACTAAACAAAATCCAAGACAACAAAGACAAACTATACATAACAGGAATTTAATATAAGTTGGCTAAATATTCCTCTGCTTCTCTCACGATACAGCACCCGGCGTTGAGGCTCTAGAGCTGCACCGCGATAAGCCGAGCGTGCTGATCACCTCGCCCGGCTCTCCGGATCTCCACACCGGCGGCTCGAACAACGGACTGCGTCATCGTGGCGCTGGCATTGGCAGCTGCTCGCAGCAGTCGCAGCGCTTGGAGGCCAGCAGCCATAACCACAGCCACAGCCATAGCCATAGCCACAGCTACAGCAGCCACAGCCACAGCAGCAGCGGCAGCGGCAGTAACAGCGGCAGCAGCAGCAACAGCAGCGCCACCGTCGCCGCCTCGGGCGGCGTGCACAGCGCAACGACGGCGGGCCACCATCATCATTGTCACCCAACAGCGGCATCACCGCCATCGCACGCGCACGCGCTTCCGCATCCGCATCCCCACCCGCACTCGCACTCGCACTCACACGCCCACGCCCACTCGCACCATGGGCATGGCATGGGCGTGACAACACAGCCGATTCCCATCGAGGGCCGGCTGCAGCTGAAGCTCGGCTACGATCAGACCACTCTGCAGCTGATCGTGACGCTGGTTTGCGCCACGGGCCTGTCGCTGCGTCAAAGCGGCGCCGGGCGCAATCCCTATGCGAAGGTAAGTCAGTCCACCTGAATCTAGTTACTAAGTTGCTCATGCGCTAATTGTTTGCAGGTGTTCCTGCTGCCCGATCGCAGCCAGAAGTCCAAACGACGCACGAAAACCGTTGGCACCACCTGCGAACCGAGGTGGGGTCAAACGTTTTTCTACTCCGGTCTGCGCCGCAGCGATCTCAATGGTCGCCAGCTTGAGGTATACTTCTCAGTCCCATTAAATTTATCCTGCTTAAACCGTTTATGATATATTTTTCTACCGATCCTATTCACTCTTCACTTTAGCCTTCTTAAGTTTGTTACTTCTATATCACCATCGATCACCTATCTCTATCCTCTAGAATACCCTGAACCATTTGAGAAGGAAAATCAGAGTATAATGGTTTTGTGAAAAGTATGTAACAGAATGAGGATATATATTTCTGATCAGGGCGACGAGCTGAGTCGATATAGCCTTGTCCGTCTGCCTGATAAATTGAATTCCTTTTTAAGCGTAATTTGAATACTATTAGATCTAGATATTTAAGATATTTTATAAATACACAGGTTTTGCAATTTACAGATTGTGAATACCACGCCCCTTTCGCCCCCAATTTGTATTAGACACCTGGAATATACATATGTGCTTTTGAATATCCACACTGCAGCCCCAGGCACAGTCGTTGCTTACTACGCAATTAGCAGGGCGCATGTGTGTGCATGTGTTTCTGTATATGTGCATAAAAAAAGTACAGAATGGTTGGAATATCAGTTCTACGCAGGGTTGAGGGTATCTCCAAGTCGAGCCGTCTCGCCTATTTTACATAATCTTTAAAAAAAATCTTCTCGAGCCCTCGCTGAAATAATTTGTTATTAATGTCACCAATTAATTGTATTTATTTATCAATACACTCTTTCGATCTGCTGGTAAATTAATACATATTTTAGTTTATAGCAATCGACTTTCCACTAACTTATCGGTCTTCTTCGTCTTCTTGACTCTCTTTGTATAATAATTGAGATTTATATTCATTTACATGCATTCATTATATGCATTTTTCAATTTATATTGATCAACTTTGTTTATAGTCTCAATTCTGCTTTGTTGATCTTTATTTAAAATGTTAGATTTTGTTATCACCGATCCCTCCATCAAATTCCTGTAGATCTACTTTATTTTACATCAAATGATATTTAATCCCGTTGACATTTTTTTAGTTTTTTATAGGGGTGTCCTGATCTCTCTATTCCACCATCGACACTCTATCACATTCTTGTAGATCTTTGTAATAAAATATTGATTTTTCAGTTATTTTGAAGGACTCCTAGAACTAAAATTCATTTGATCTTCCAATTGCGTTTTCTATTATAGATAAATATATATTTATTTTCTTACGAATTAATCCTACTTTTAAAAATGGATTATCCAGTTTTACGCTTAGTGATCACGTTATTTTTTGAGTTGTCATTGTATTTACTGATCCTACCGTATAATATCCAAATTCTACTTTGTCAATCCATAGGTCACGCTGTGGGATTATGTGCGCTATGGGGCCAACGACTTTATTGGCGAGGTGGTCATTGACTTGGCTCATCATGTACTGGACGACGAAGCCGAGTGGTACCAGCTGCAACCGCATCAGGATAGCTCCCATCTCGTATGTTATGTCCAAGGAAGTCGCAAGCTTCTCTTTGGTTTCACTTATCGTTTCATTTTCATTTGATTCGTCTTTGTGTTTCATGCCGGTTCGTTTCGGTTCATTTGGTTTGCGTTCGTATTTATCTTAATGTTGGTGTGTTGGTAAATGTGAAGCCATTGAGGTTGAGGTTTTCTAAGCTCCCCGGGACGAGATTTGTTGAGCGAAAAACTTAACACAAAACTGAAAAGCAGAAAATTTTTGTTTTCTTTGTTTTTTGTTCTATTTTTTACTTGAGTTTTAGTACTTTAGATGTAATGTTTATCCCCAGCTGTCCATTGAAACAAAATTATTAACTCAGCATTGTCATATCTTTTGTTTATGTCGTGCACACCTTAAAAAAAATTATAAATACATATATATATAATAAAAATACACAACTACATGACAAACAATCACCTATCACCAACCAACCACGAAACAATCAACAACCAACAAATTCAACTCCAACAACAACAACAACACATGCTGTCGCTCGCCCCGTTCCATTCCAATAACAAACCGTTGGTTGGCAACTTTCTGACAACAACAACAACTACGATGAACAGTTACGTGACGAGGGCAGCGATGTGGAGTGTCTGATTCTGACACCGACAGATCATTTATCACCGCCCAGCACGATGTCGCGTCTAAGCGACTCGGACACGACGTCCGAGTGCGACATCGATGGAACGACGCCCGGTGCCAGCATCTCATCGATGGGCAGCTCTGCCAGCCCGCCGCTGTTCGAGGTAACAACAACAACCACAACAAGAACAACACTGCCAAAAACAACAACAACAACACACATTTGGTGCCACTTAACAAATAGGAACAACCAAAATTATATGAAAATATATATTCCCTTTGTATATAAATACATATATATATTACATACATACATGTATATAGAGAGAGTGATACACGCAGCTAAAACTGACAGCAACAAGAGTGAGGACGTCCACACACACACTCACACACACACACAGAAACATATTCACACGACAAGACAATCACAGCTTGCCACAGTCAGAAGCACTTGAACTGATTCTCACACATACACGTGCATAAAAACAGTACACACACACATACAATTTCCGTAGATTCCACTCTCTCTCTCTGTCTCTTCTCTTTGTTCCGCAGCAAAACTGTCTCTTGTCACTCTCGCTCGTACACTTGCAGAGTATTAGAATCTTGTTAGACCGCTTGATACTGAGCTCCAATATTTAAATTTAACTTTAAAAGCTTTCACAAAAATTCAATAATCAATAATGGAAAGCAAGAATATATATTTAATATAAAATATGTAAAAACTGAAAACTTTTATAAGAAATAATATATATAATACCATAAATATTATGAGAAATCAGTTAAAGTTGAAAAACTAATATATTATAATATACTATTATGCCAGAGAAAAACTAAAGCATTTGTACAATTTATATCATCATTTTACAAGATAGTTTATACAACGTGAAGTATTACTAAAAAAATTTTAAATGAATGCTAATTACGTTTCGCTTATATCAAATATACATATTTCGGTATACAAATTTGTCTAGGATTATTAAATCAAATTAATATTTATTTTTTCTTTATTGTATCCCAGAACATTCAATCCAATCTGTTGGACATTTTACCGAATGACGAGGATAGATAGATAGATAAATTAAAACATTTATAAATATTACAAGAAAATAGTAAATTAAATTAATTAAATTATGAAAATATAATAATATGATGTTACATAGCGCTCTGCAAGTGTATTCAGTTTTCGTCAGAATTCTAAGTGTTCTATACTCGTTTTTACACACAAATCTACTCGTTTCATGTTTTCTTATAGTCTGTGCATTTCGTTACTCCTAAGTGTCAATCTCATTACCACCTCTTAGGCCGGACATTTGGGTCTGCCGTCATCTGCACACATCTCGCATACGCCATGTTGCCCAGTATCAAGGCAGTTGCCTGAAGGCTTCATTATTGCTGTCCCTGTCAGTTAATTAGCATGCAGATCAAACTCAAATTGGACGAATTAATTCACTCAAATCAGCCCATCATCAACGCATTCAAATCCATAAATTGTACATAAGTTTGCACACATTCGAAATATGTATAATATCTCTTCCGTTAAAGTTTCTGTGCTTTCATTTGACTTTCGTTCGTTACGTTCTTTTTTACTAATTGGTGTCGTTGTTTCGTTGTGCGTGCGTGTTAAATTTTTCACTCTCTAAACTCTAATATCTGAACTCCTTACTCTAAGATCGCAGCTCTCCATCTATGTGTACTAAATTAAATACTAAAACTCTGAAACAGCGCGTGGCATTTGAAGGCTCTGCGCTTTCGAATCTACCTTTATTCTTTAATTTTGTTGTCATAAGCATCATGTTTCAGCTAACAATAATCTTTGCATTTAAGATCGAATATATACATAGAGTTTAAGTTTTGTAAGCAAAATGCTTTAGGTTTAAGGATGCGTGTAAACATAAAAACTTGAGAACACATACTAACTGCAGAAAACTGTCCAAAGAGTCAGTCTTTAATATTGTCTAAATGAAGAATGAAAAAACAGAAAATCTCTCAAAACTCAACTTTGCAACAAGTCACAAAAAAAAAGAACAACTTTTAATATATTTATCAGCTGCACCTCTGGCCTTTACTCTCTAAGCTTTTGCATGCCTACGCCCTACCTGTATCTGCTTGTAATCGTAGCCTTAAGTGTTTAGTACTGCTGATTACTACTTGACTTATAATTTCTCTTGTAATATACCCCGCTACCAGACAAAAACAGAAAAAACAATCACTTAGCGATCCATTAGACCCACCCGTTTACACACATATATATAGAGAATATACATAAATATATATACAAAATGTACGTATATATGACACACAAATGCAATGTAAAAATTGACATCAGCAATTTGATTTATATTCATTTTGATCACATATGTACATTTTCTCCTCTTGTTCTCTTGCTCTCTATCTTTCCTCTTTATATATTTACTCAACACACACACACTATCCACTCCCCGTTGGTTATATGCTGAACATGTATATATAAATATATATATTCATATATATATATTTGTATGTATATCCGATATATGCTACCCGAATTGGTCCCATCCACAAATCGTTAAACTCGCATAATTCAGCTCGATCTAAACGAGCGTCGATCCAGACGTGACATGTCGCCCCAGGGCCGCAAACGGGTGGCCGGGATGATGGCCAGAGATTATCGCACAGTATCTGGCATTGGACAAAGTTATCACAATCAGGTTTGCACCTAAGCTAAATTAACGTAACACTCCATCAAACAGATCAGAACCGATCAGACAGCGCATTGTAAGCCACACACATACAACACAGGCAGTCCAAGCAGCTTTAGTACACAGCAGTAAATATCTATTTCATCCCATCAATGGATAAAGTGCTCCAAGCGAATCAGTAGGCCACTTACATATATCAGCATATATATTAGTTGCAATCATCTACTTAGCTACCGCTAGTCAGCCAGGCCTACAGTTTTCTGCACTTTCGTAATACTAATACTGCTACTATTACTACTACTACTACTATTACTACTACTAATCAAACTAATTAACATAACTCAACCAATTATTTATATATATATAAACTCAAGCCTTTATTATATCGATGCTTTTATCAGTTGCCGAACAGAGCAGCAATGCTCTGTTCCCGGCTGATCGGAGATCGGAGTCTTGTTTCCATATGTCGTTAATTGATTTTGTTTCGAATTCTCTTGCTAAGTATACATACTTATTCCGTATGCCTTTACTATTAACTGTAATTACCTCCGTTAATTTACAAACTCATTTTCCGTGTTCCAGTAGAATTGCAGTAACAGTTAATCAAACCACACGTACACCTGAACAGCAAACACACCCACACACTCGAATTATGAACTTGAATGAATTTCAATGCCACTCTACTCACAGATATATATCTTTTAATATACATATATATTTATAAATATATATACATGCATATGCTTGTATGTATGTGCCTAGCCGTAAGCTCTCGCGGATGCCGGACTTCAGACCTGGGTGCAGCCCGGTTAAGGCCTGAAGCTAATTCTCTCCCTCTCTCGTTGCCCTCTAACGTATGCAATGTTTTTTCTCTGCTCTCTCGCGGTCACATCAGAGTTCTGCAACTACTGCGGGTTACTACCGACGAGGCGGTGCCAATGGTGTCGGCTCCGCCATCGGACCTGGTGGCATGAGCCTGAGCCAGCGCAGCCACTCGGCAGCTCCCAGCGACAACTATCACGGCCATCAAGGACATCCGGGCACAGGCTACGGCTACAGAAGCAGCAGTCCGCGGCGAGGATCGCTATCGCCGCCCGACGATCGTTACATTGACTATCCAGTGCTTCCAATTCACGGCTCACCCAACGCCGCGGCCTACGGCGGCGGAGGCAGCGGTGCTTCGGCGGCGGCACAGACACCACAGCAGCAGCGTTTCCAGTCTCGTTCTGCCACTGCCACGCCTACGGGATCGCCCAAGAAGCGACAACTGCCACAGGTAAGTCATATACTAAAGGTAAAAGTCTTTGGTAAAAAAAAAAAATAAATAATAAAGACAAATTTGGTATTTACTATTATGCCTATTTTGTAACCAATATGTCAAAGAGTTTGCATGTTTACTAAATTAAAATACATTATTCGGAACTCTAGTAATATCGAAGTAGTTTGGGATAGGCAGATGCAATCAGTTGCCTCAGAGCTGTGCATTCGAATCATGTTCAGTATTTTAATAAATAAGCAAATTCGTATACTTAAAAGTCGAGATATTTTCCGGCTGGAAGAACAAAAGCTTCCTTACAAGTTATACCCTGAATGCATTAAAATTGTAATTCAACATACCTCGAATATCGTACCCTAGTTGGAGATAGTTTCCTGTGAGGAACACACGAATTCCGAGTCTAGGGTTGATCGAAATAACAGCTCTGCATAAAAACTTTTCCGTCTTGAGCATCTAAAGAGTCGCTGACGTATTATATCTTGCCTTATTCATATAGTGTTCAAGTTATAACAAATTTATTACCAAACTTACAAATTCTATCTTACTTTCCTCGAAGGTGCCACAAACCTCTCGCAGCGCCATGTTGCGCGATCGATTGGGTCAGGACTTTGACGAGCGGCTGGCATCGGGCAGCCGCTTTGGCCGCCATCGCACACGGCAGCCGCACCATCAGGCGACATATCGCAGCACCGGCATGGGTGGCTGGGAGCGCCACTACACAGGACTTTCGGATAGTGATCTGCAGTCGATGGACACGCGGATGCGGCCAAGGCATTCGCTGTCGCCGGACAAGGACTTCATGGGCGAGTTTGGTGACTCGGACATGGAGTCGGTGGTCAGTGTGACGTCGAGTGCGTTTTCCACTCAGTCGGAGCGTCCGCGCACCTCGCGCGGCCTCAGGTGAGTTGTAGGCCGAGCTGTAGAGCTCGCGGAGACGCTGAGCTAGAATCAAGCTGGCGCCTGGCTCGCTGCACTCGCGTCCGCTTCGTTAATGTCGCCAAGCCATGCCAAAGCAAAGCTGCCAAAATTATGCTGAAATTACGATTGTGGGCTACACACAAATATTGGTATCAACTTTTTCAAGTAGAGGCTACAAAATCCAAAATTTCCCTGTTAATTAGGCCCTGATTCAATTGAATTGCGAACCCGAATCAGAAAACCGCGCTTAACGCATTACACCAAAGACACGCACAATGAAACTCACACAGATACATACATACATCAGTTAACAAAAGCAAGGCAATCCGAAAAAAACATAAAGTTTTCTTTCTGCATTTACTTTTTGTGTTTTTCTTACAAAACGAAACCAACAAAAACGTTAACGAAACAAATAAAACCGATAAACAAAAAATCGCCCAACGCTCGACGCGCGCTGCTCTCTCTTTTGTGTTCACTGCTTTTGCGTGCTCTTCACCACACACAATCACTCTAATCACACACACACACACACACACAACTACAACCACAACCACAACTCACCACGCAAACGAACCACCTCAAATGAACACTCGCTGACCTCGGACGCCAACCATTGCGCTTGCATTTCCCGACGATCGTTCGTAATTTCTCACAAACTCAACAAATTCAAATTCACCTCAAAATTTCCCCCACCATACGCTGGGCTGTTAACGTTAATGTTAACAACGCATGCTGTTAACTTACATTAAATGTAAATAAATACGAAAACACAACAAATTCGACACTGGCTCACATTGAACCACCGAACAACCACCCACCCAACCACCCGCCACCGATAACAACAAAATAAATCAAAATCAGCTTTCCACGCAACTGGCGCAACCTCTTCGGCGCCCAAAGTAGCATATTGGGCGGTGCCGTTGGCGGCCCTGTGACCGGCCTTAAGGTCTATCCCGTTGAGCACCACCGCGCGAACACCATCGAGGTGGACGACTGCGACTATCTCTCCAGTGGTGGCGGGGCTCATCAGCTCCTGCTGCTGGAGCAGCTCGAGCAACTGCAGCAGCTAGCCGCCTTGGCTGCCGCCGACTCGCCGCCCAACACCGCCGCATTGGGTGGGTTCAGCGGTGCCGCATCTGCAGTCCCGCCACCACCCACAACTATACCACTGCCAATGACCGCACCACAGCAAGTACTCGTAACGGACACAAACAGCGGCGAACTGATCGAGCAGTTCTTCGTGGAGCCGGCCCTGATGGCGGAGGAGACGCCGCTTAACCTCGAGCCACACGAGCCCCATTTGCTTACGCATAGCGTTTACTATTCACCTCATTTGCCCAACACATTCATACAGCCGCCGCTTGACTTGTACCAACGACGCCACAACGGACGCCAGCTCGACCACGCCCCCACCATCGCCACCGCCACCGCCACCGCCAACGCAACCACTCATGCGAATCACACCTATGCGCTGCCCGGCTTTGAGCAATTCAAGCGCTATACCACGCCCGTCATGAATCTCTTTCGCAGCTCCACAACAGCACCGCCAGCGTCTGCCCATGACCACGCCCACACGGTCTCCTCCTCGCCCAGCTCCTACGTGGGCTACGTACGCGATCACCTGGACAAGAGCTGCAGCCACTGCCAGAACGGTAGCCAGCCGGTAGTGCTATCCACAAACACAGCCCTGGCGACGCCCGGCCTGGCTATTGGCGCCTGCACCGATCCCTGTTGCCTGGCCGATGCACATCCCCATCCGCAGCATAAGCCCATTGCATATCCCTATAGCGCGGAGCAGCTGCTGCGTCGCCCCTCCCTCTCCATGTATCAGCCGGCAAGCACCTCAGAGCCCTCGCTGCCCACCATGGACCCGGATCCCATGTGCGGCGAGTGCGTTGACCAGCATTTCCTGGGCGGCCTGATTGGGCCGCAGCTCAATCTGGGCGTGGTGCCCACCTACCATGTGCACACGCCAACAGCGACAGCTCATCGGCGAGCGAACTCGCAGCTGGCACCGCCTCCACCACTGCCCACGCAATCCGTGCTGCGACTCTCGCGACAGCTTAGCGAGGATGCCCTAGTCTCGGCGGTGCCCATAGCGGAGGCGACGGCACGGGCTCAACCCACATCGATTCTGAAGAAGCCCAAGCTGGACCGACGTCGCATGTTTCACGAGGGCCAGTCGCGCTCCCTGGACTACGATGATTTGCATACGAAGAGCTGGGGCAGGCGGCGCATACGTTACGAGGACGAGGTGGCACCACATGAGCTGATGCCGCACGCCTATCACCCCAGTGAGGAGCAGTTGCCCAGCAGTCGCCGATACGGCTCCGAGACGAACATACGGCAGTCGTATATGGGCGCCAATGTGGATGCCGCCAATCCGCTGAGTCACTCGCATTTCCTGGTCACCGATGACAAGATCGTGACCATCACCTACGACTCGGATGTGGGCTGGACCCGACGCGGCGTAGCGCCCTCCCTCTTCCGCGGTCCACACCGTCGCGGCGTCGACGCTCGCAATCACATGTCCCTCGACCTGCAGCGCACCAGCCAGCAGAAGCTCTACGGACCCGCTGCGCCCTACATGAAGCGGCGTCGCAATCTGCCACATCCGCCTAGTGCGCAAAACGCACACAATTTCTCGCCCATGGAGGCGATCGGTGGTGGTGTTGGTGGGGGCGGTGCACAGAACAGTGGTACATACAACAGTAACAATCACAACAGTAGCCACTACACCAATCACAATAGCCACGCAGCGAGTAGTGTTAGTAGTGTTAGTCAATTTCACAACAACCAACAACAACAACAACAACAACCACAATCAATTAGGCAAAAAGGGAAAGAAGGCATCATCGCCGTAAACGGATTGTTGGCATCGGCATCGGAACAATTGACGAAATCTAGTGGTGGGAGCGGTGGTGCAACATCTGCCGCAGCTACCGCTGCCGCTACTGGTAATATCGTCTGCGATGGTAATAATGCTAATAATGCTTCTTCTTCCTCTTTTGCAAATCCCCCACAACAACAACAACAACAACAACATCATGGTGTCGCTAATCAACCAATAACAACAACAAACGCATCACCCAATAAACGTGCCCCATCATCAATACACAATACCACTACAACAACAACAACAACAACAACAAACGACGCCAACAACTTGACCCATGACGCAACATCAACCAATCTCACACAACAACAACAACAACAACCACCAAATACATGCACAAATCTCATCACAAATGCAACAACAAACACATCGTCGATTGATGCGGCAACAACAACAACAACAACGACGACAACGATAACAACCGCAACGACTGCTACAACAACTGCCACAAATACAACTACAACAACAACAACAACAAATACAAATAACACGAATGAACCAAACGCAACAACGACAACAACAAACGCCAATACGAATGCTAATACGGATGCGGATGCGGACGCGGATGCACCTATCGATGTTATCGATTGGGATGCAATCGATGCGATGCTCGACGACGATTTCAGTGAGTACGACAAGGAGAAGAACGGTGCCAACGAGCCGAGTGGAGCCAAGTCAGTCGACGGTGGAGGCGGAACTGAGGAGAAAGCCGGTATGTATTGGATATTCAAGCATCTAATCCATATTTCAGATATCACAGAAGATCAATAGCATTAGATTTAGAGATCATCTATAGCCAAATAATTTATATATTCTAATTTGAAGTTGGAAGCAAAGTAATTAATTACGGCAAAGAGAGTCACATGGCTCCGTAGGCTAATCGGAATACAATCCAACTGACTCCTATTCCATATACTATGTATATTGTTTTATTACTCATATTCCTGCAGTCCATTCTATTCATATGAGTCAATTGACTATCTATTCGAGTCGTATGATTATTATTCTGTAATGCTGCTTATATATAGTGATGTTGGATTCTTATTCTATTCACGGGATTTCTTATATTACTAAAATATTAGCAATATTTAGGATGCGCATGCTAATGGCGTGGCAAACTTTCTTGAAGACCTGAATTCATATGTACTAATATTTATCTATTGAACAGATATATAATAATTAGCGACCAACGGAGTCTTATGGAGTATCTTGTTTTGAGTCTTGTTCATGTTGTTGTATGAGCTCCTTATAGCTATTGTATTTTGATTTGGTTACCAAAGATATTTAATTCCGTTTAGTATTTTTGCGAGAACACTAATACTTCGCAAATCCGTAATTTCTAATATTCAATATTTCATGTATGTTTCCGTTTCTCTTTTTTTGTTTTTGTGTGCTCCACAGATGGCAGCCTGTCAGACACCACAACGGATCGAAAAAAATGCGGCAACGTGGATCAGGAACGATCACCCAAAGGCGGCAGCGGGATGGGTAAAAAATCCAACTCGACGTCGCAACTGTCGGCAACAGGTAAGAGACTTGTTGCCTTTTCTTTGTATACTATTCGCTTACAAATCTTGTTCAGTTGTCTTGTTGAACATGATCAGATAATCCGAGTATCAAATTACCAAAAATCATCAGTAGGCTCCATTCGAGTGATAGAATCATGCACTAGACGAGCCGCCTCTTTGGTTTCTCACACTTGTATTTTTCATTCTTAAAATTTGTTGATTTCACTAACTAATTCATCGATCATCTTTTGCATAATTGTTAACATTTTACTAACCAACCGTAACAAATACATAAACAAAAAAAAAAAAAAAAAAAAAAAAACTAAAATAATGCCATACTCAAAGGTCGTAAAAGACGTATGGGCTTTGGAAAGAAGGGTAAGAACTCGTTCACGGTGCATCGCAGTGAAGAGGTGCTGCCTGGTGATATCACGCGGGAGTTGCGCTCCGGCGGAGGTGCCGGCTGTGTCAGCGGTGGTGCTGGCGGTGCCGGTGGCGGTGGCCTATCCCGTGGTTCGTCCTCGGAGGCGGACCCCATTGAGCAGTTTTTCGGCGATGGCGCTGGTGGGGAAAGGTGCGCACACAAGTCCAACTTATTCTGTCTCTTTCTGTCTCTCACTATCTGTGAAACTATCTTTCTATCTAGCTAATTTCTCTATTTATGCTATGCTTTGAGTTTATAGTTTTACATTTGATTTCTGATTCCATTTGCTTTTTAGTTGCCTTTATCGGAAATCGAAGCAAACAACAATGCTTAAAGTTCATGATGCTGATGACGATGATGATAAACATTAGTTAGCCATATTACAAAAAAAAAAAAAAAAACTAAACATAATTACAAAGCAAAACACATTAATTTTCTGATAAGCAGGTTGCCATGTATTTCTAGCTGTAAGAAATGTTCACAAATCAAAAAAAAAAAAAAAAAAAAAAAAAGTTGCGCTCGCTCTCTTTGATTCTCTTGCTCTCTATCTCACTCTTTATTTCTATCTCTCTCTCGTTCTCTATTTATCTCTGTACCTCTCGCTGAGTATTTTTGCGTAAAAGCTTGCTGCAAGCTTTCTCTCTCGCGCGGCCCGCTTCAGTTGAAAGCAATACAAATCGAAAGCCCTTTTGAGTTATTTGATTTTTAGTTAACCTCCAAGCGCAATAAACCAACCAAAGAAAAAAATACAACAAAAAATCACCCAACCAACCAATCAACAAACAATCCAAAGTCGATACGTATTTTTAGGCTTAAACCAAAGAAATTGCTAAAAGACGTCGCACAAGCCGAAAGCTTTGCTTGTTGGTAGTTGCAAAAGCTCGTGAAAAGCTTGGAAACCAAAAAGGAAAAAGGATAAAGCAAATGCCGACCTACGCAAAGCTTTCGGCTGTGTGCGCTGACTGTTGACGGTCACTGTGGCTGCAGTGCGGTTGACTAATGGAGGCTCCCAACTCTTTCCGTAATGCATTTTAGTTTCGCAGCCACTTTGCCTCTTTTGTTTACAATAAATACTAACCTTTAAAGCCAATCGTTCGTTTAACCTTACTTATATATTGTTAATGCCATTTATTACAAGATTACATACTTTATTGAGTTCGAACCAAAACAAACAAATTAACTACAAGCAAACATGTACAACATTTTACTCTTAAACTTTGTTCGATTTACATATGCATGCATTGAGTTACCTACTATTTATAACAACAATAACTTGCAATATACTTTTACCAAAAATATACTACTTTAGCTTCCTACCTACCTACCTATCTACCTAACAGTCTATTACAGCCTTTTTAACTAGCTAAAGTAACTGTTTTTAATACATGCGAAAAGGTATCGAAATCATTATTTGCAGTTATGTGGTAAGACTGGTCCATGGTATATAAGCCCGACTAAGAACAGTGCTAGCAAAGCAGACACTGACATTTTTAAATCATTTTGCCATATAGTCGACCGGTCCAAGTTTCCGATTACGAATTCTGCATGAAGACAGCAACTGAAGCTTCTGCTAGTAGTATCAATAGTATAAATAAAATGAATACCAACAATTGAACTAATGTTTATCATCTGTTTTCTACAAGTTTTCTGTTATTTTGCAAAACAATTTGATATTTATGTACGTATATACAGGGAGCTCTGTCAAAGAAAGCCAAAACAATTAAAAAATAAATAATCAATCAAAATAAATACACCAAGATACAAACAATAAACTAATCACACCACACAACAAATTCATCAATGAAAATTTGCATCGATTTGGAGTATATATTCGAAATATGTACACATATATACAAAAAAGCATGTATATATACATATATAAATATATGTATGTATAAGTCAAATACACACCAAGGAACTGAATCAGTGAATCGTAGCAAAGAGAAATAAGACGTCGCAATTCATTCCTCACACATACAAACTCAGCAAACAAATACTTTAAGTATCTTTAATGGAATAAATGTATTTACAATGAATATTGATTCCTTATAAATTGGGCATTACTCTAAGTAATATATATATATATATATATTACTATATATATATGAGCTACTTTTGGTTTATTTGTTTTTTATTTTTGCCAGTATGATTTCGACTTTATTTCCAGTTTCGTTTCACTCTCTGTACTCTAATTTCTGTATAGTCAGGATATATATACATGCATATAGCTGTATCCGCATATGTATATATATATGAATGTATATATATGCATATATACCTATATATACATGTATATTCCCAGAGCCCAGCGTCGAGTATCGTGTAACGTTTATCGCGCATCGAGTAGAGGCCAGCATCGCGAAACACAAGTCCTTTCATTCAGAGACGGACAAAAACGAGGCAGCAAAACATTGTTCAGTTCGAACCTTTGAGTTTTGAGTACATATATCATTCATACATCAATAGCATATTGTACTATAGAACTCATATTGAACTCTCTCAATCTCTCTATATATGTACATTCATATATATGTATATATTTATGTATATATATATACGTTTGTCTATCATATTCTTGGCAGACCAATATCAGGCTCAGTATTTGGGCAGCTCGAGCGCGAGCGGCTCCTCCACTAGTCACCATCATATCACACTACCACCACCACATCCATATTATCAAAGGCAGTCGCGCGGCTCGGCGGGCAGCATCCAGCGGTCTGTGGAGGTGCCGCCGGTGCCAGCGGTCACCCGCTACAGTGCGGGCAGCATACATTCGATCTCTAGCTCCGAGGGCTCATCGTAAGTTTCTCTGGCCAATACAAAACAGCCAACAAATTATACCTAACTAAAATAGTTAAAACATCTAAAACAAATACTTTGTCATCTAAACTCTCCTCGAAATTTCTGCTCTCTCTGCCTACGCATCCTTCTCTCTGTCTGCCTCACTCTCTATTTTCTTCAATTTCGACTTCCATTGCCTTTGTAAATGGCACTATGTGTCGATATCTCTCTCTCTCTCTCGCTCTCTCTCTCTCTCTCTCTCTCTCTCCAACACGCTCTGTCTCTCTGTATCTTTCTCTGTCTTTCTCTCTCTATCTCTCTCGCTCTGTCGCTCTTTCCTGTCTCATACCGCATACCACCCGACTATAATACACATTTTTCTCTGATCATGTTATTTAATTATCTGTGTCCAATCTTTGCCGGCATCTCTTTCTTGTTATCTACGTATGTGCGCCTTGATATATCGTTCGAGCCAGTCTGCATTTTTGTATATCTATAAATATATTTGCGTTCTGTTCAATTTTCCGCTTCACTTCTTTGTGTAATTTTCCGTCTCATATATATGTGCAAAATAAATTTGATTTATTGTTTCTTTTATTTCATTCATTATTGCCAAATACACTTGTATGATTTCCTTAAATATGTATATATTTATACAATTTGATGTGTGTGTATAAGAAAACCAAATAAAAATAAAATAAAATAAAATAAAATAAATTACAGGCCATAAGCTAAACTCTATTAACTATTACTCAAGTACTAGGCACCTAGACTTCATTGTGGCACTATTGATGTACCATTTTCCTTCCTCATAGAGACAACAGGATCTATTTTATGTATTGTACATATAAATATGTGCATATATTTATATACATATATATAAAATGCTTCAGTAATTCTATTTTAAATACAGTTTCTATTGGCTTTGAGTTGATTTCAGCAGCAGAAATCAAATGAAAAAAAAAAAAAAAAATAATAATAAAAACAAAAGCTTGCATGCTATTGAACTCTCCTGTGTGCACTACTCTGTCAGTACATGATCCACTACTACCATAAGCCACAACCACATCCACAACCACAACCACATCCACACTTACCATACCCATCCACAGAACCAGTCGTAAACCAGTGTACACAACAACCACCAAGACTACTTAAAACAATTTAACTGTCTTTCTACAACTCCCTGTGTATAACAGCCTGGTTCCACAGACGATCTGATTCATAAAGTTTCGCGACTTTGCATCAGATCGTGATTGTTCCGTGGAACCGGGCTAAAACAGTTCTTTTTCTCAAAATCTTGTACTTCTTTGTTTTTATTCCTTTTCAATGAGATCTATGTGATGAAAGTCCTGTATTGAATACCTTTCTAAAGTCTTTAACTTTTTCAACAAAAAAAAAAAAAAAAAAAAAAAAAAAAAACCGGTAAATTCCTATAGATTTTCACCATCATTACGCAATGATGGAGCCCTGAATGAGTTCGTGGATGGCCTCGGCCCGGGTCAATTGGTTGGTCGTCAGGTGCTGGGCGCCCCCTCACTAGGTGACATACAGCTGTCGCTGTGCCATCAGAAGGGCTTTCTCGAGGTTGAGGTGATACGAGCCAGGGGCTTGCAGGTAAGCGAAGGCACAAGTCAATTGAAGGCGGGAAGTATCCAATACGTTATACTTTGCACCTGGCAGCAAAAGCCGTCGTCGAAGATGTTGCCCGCGCCCTATGTGAAAGTTTATCTGGTGTCGGGCAAGCGGTGCATTGACAAGATGAAAACCTCAACGGCTCGTCGCACGCTGGATCCGCTCTATCAGCAGCAATTGGTATTCAAGCAGTCGTACAGCGGTTGCGTATTGCAGGTGAGTGAGCCTGCATGACAAATATATATAGATCTATTAATTTACATCAATTTCCTGTCCAGGTGACCGTTTGGGGCGACTACGGCCGGATTGAAAAGAAAGTGTTTATGGGTGTGGCGCAGATAATGCTCGACGATCTGAATCTCTCGAATATCGTTATCGGCTGGTACAAGCTCTTCGGCACCACCTCACTGGTCAGTTGTCCCACTAATATAGGTTTAGGCTCTAGGCGCTCATCAATAGCCTCACTCGACTCACTCAAACTCTAAACTACTAAAACTCAACTCAACTCAACTCAAACTTAACTCAACTCAACTCAGCTCAAATATTATTATTATACAAAAACGTACAAAAATTCAACTCAAGATCTACTTGCATATTGATAAAAGCAAAAAATACTCAGAACACGAGCCAAAAATATAAATACATGCATATATATATATATATAAATACATATACATACACATATGTAGCTACATTTTATTCAGTATTCTGTATTGACATACGAAACAAGAAACTTCAAATGCAAAACAAAAACTAATTTAACTTCGTAGCTTAGCGAGTCACAAAGCATCTGTACAAACACAAACAACAACAAATAAGAAAAATTTAAAACAAAACAAAATTGAACTATTAGTCAAAAACCAACAACAAATTGATTGCATACATATTTTGCATTTGTTTTTAGTTAGCTAAAAATACAAAAAAGCACACACGCGCACACACGCGCACACACGCGCACACACCTGTATATGAATCGATTACACCGCTAAATTCATTATAACATATAACTATATATTGATCAGTGCCAGCAAGAGATCAAAATTGAAATGCATTTGTACAAAAAAAAATATATATACTAAAAAAAAAACAAGAAACGCTCAAAAATTATAAGCCAAAAGAAAGTTAAACACCTATCGAAAGTCACCTTATATCTATATCACCGTTATCGTTACCGTTACCGTTACGTTCTTTTGGCATAGCATACAACTTCAACGTAGTAATTTATAGACTCGAACAATACTCATATAGGTATGTTTCTCAATCCCCAACTACCTGAAACAAACAACCAAAACCACGATCAATTTACCAAGTCTTCTGCATGCATGTAGTTAACGTACCATTTATCGTATTACCGTATTATCATATCCTTATCATTTCTATCGTATGCGATGATTCCTCTTTGACCTCTTTACTTATACTACTCGTTGCTAACAAACTAAAAACTACTCGATTCCACTAACTGTAATCTTGCTTTGCCCAACTCCCGAACTAAGCTCGAAACATGAACGCATTAAGAACTCAAAACCCAGAACCCAAACCAGAACCAAAACTAAATCAAAATGGCAAATTTCGGCTAGCTGTCAACATAGATTGATAGACACACATTATATTATAATCACATTAGTTAGGGCTAGCGTCGAAGCTGATGAATGACATTTACAATGCATTTCTCGAATGTGTACCCACATCAGGGTCGTCCGATTGTTTGGGCCGGTGAATCAATAATGGAGGAGCAGGGTGAATAACACTTTCCAGCTACAGTGAAAACACTTTAAAGCACCAAGCACAAACAAATTTCCAAACTTGCAAACTGAACTGAATTGTAAGTGCACACACTAAACTAACTAGCTTAAGCATATTGATAACGATTTTATTCTCCACTTATTGCATACGAATGAAACTCTTTTTTGTTTTTATGCAGCTTTCTGTATAACGCGCTAGCACAGCCATTTGCCATTTTACTATCAAATAACTGCCAATCGACAATAAAACTAAGCGAAAACAAAAACAAAACAAAAAGAAATACAAACAGCTCACAAGCAACTAACAATTAATTTGCCCGCTAATAAACGATTAACATTGCATTATTTAAGAAAACATTTGCCGAGATATCGTTAGCTAATTTGTTCGTGGTAATCGTTGCAGTAACCCTTGCAAAGAGCTGCCAGCCAGGCAGCCAAATAGCAAAGGACCAAGGTCAGCCTGCAGGACCTGCTACGCTTTGTTGGGAGAGGAAAAGGAGGCGGAACACCCCGGATGAGCGTCTGGAGCTGTCGCCCGATACTCCCATTCGGCATGTTGCTGGCCTAATCTATGTCCAATTTGTATGTAATTTTTGATTTGTATTTTTGATTTCTTACTCTTATTATCGATCGGAAGATATCCTTAGGAGTGTAAGGATCTAGGTAATTTTGTAAGTCATGAAAACAAATGCATTTAAACCCATACCCGATAACACAAGCAGTGCAGTAAATGATTAAACTTAATAACTATGAAATTCGAGATATATAATATTTAAATATAATGCGATCTACACAAGAGAGAGACGAATATAAAATATTAATAAAAATATGAAATGAAAGAGAGTTTGTAAATGAATGACAGCGTATTTGAAGACATTTTTATTACACACCTAAGATCGCTATTATTTTCGTAATACGATTATTCTGATTATTATTATGAATAATTATTATTAATAATAAATAGATATACAAAGAACAAAAAGAAAACATGCAAGATACACACAACCAAGAAAAAGTGCTAATGTCGGTAATACACCTAAAGCTAAGTCAGTGAGATAGAAAACAAAAATAATAATAAATTAAAAATGATGAGTAAATAAATTAAAAAGTAAAATAAAAAGGAGTAGGAGGCGGAGATGGAGATTTAAGTGCAGATGCAAGTTGTTTAATAGATAAATCTAAATCAATAAATTAAAGTTATAGATTTTCAAGAAAATATTTACGAGTATATACTATATACAATATATGTATACACAAATATATACATATAGATATATATTTAAAGTTTAAGCAAGCAAAGAACCACTAACACTTAAATAAGCCTAACTTACGATAAATTAAACTTAAAGTTAATCAGAAAGTAACTAAATGAGATATATGATATATGAGATATGTATTAATCCAAACCAAATACTTATTAAGCGTGACGATTGAACAAATTTAATTTAGAAAATGAAAACCAAACACACACACACACACCACTTACACGAATACACAACAAATGTTAATCTTAAGCTGTACATAGATAACACTTCATACACATACACACACACACATATATATATATATATTCATATAATTATAAAGCCCATAGAGAGGTGAATTTGTTATTAATGAATAATTATTTTGGCTTCTGCTTATTTGATTCATATTGTTTTTTGCACAGCTGCAAAAACTTGGCAGCAACCCCAAAATGCTCAAGTTTTTGCAGCCAGCGCAGAGCTGATAGATAACAGACAACTAAGAACAGAGAACAGATAACATATAACGCATTCGCATGACAAGATCTCGCTTCTATTTGCATATATCTCGCATATCCTTTGTCTAATTCAAGTTGCCCACGTCAGCTAGCGCGAAGTAAGAGAATAACGCATCGTACCTTCAACATAATAAATAGTGTGAGCTGTAAAAATGTTACCTGCTTGCTAATGAACGGATAAAGAACACAACACACACACACACAGACAGACACACAAAACACAAGCCTGTAGAGAGAGAACGTTACAAATGAAATACATTCACATATATGCATGCATATTCATATGCATATTTACGCTTTACTTTGGCGTCTGGTTGCGTTCTCTTGCACAACATTTTGCAATGCATTTGAGGTCCTCAAATGGTTCATTTTGAGTAAACATATCAGAGGCCTGCGAGGGAACTAGGATGGGAGCAGTAGATTTTTATATATACAAAAATAATGTACTGTATTGTTAAACGTTTATATGTATACGCCGAATAGCTATTGTATTGTTCCTAGCAACAGATCGTAGATATATTGTACTATATGTATCTAAGTACATTCACTTCATTCCTCAGAACTCAGTTGGCTAACGATATTAATTTCAACCCGTCCGTCCATTCATCAGCTTTTTGCACACAGATTCAACTACAGATGCGGATGCCGTTGCATGACCATTGAAACTTTCTATATCTACCGCTAAATAATAACAAACCAAATATAAATATGTAATTATTGCCAGCAAATACCAAATAAACAGGGAAATGCATTCAAAATGTTGCTGCAGAACGTCGGGCTCAACATCCTGTAGACCAAATGCAAAGCGCGCTTTAAAGAACTTCAATACTATCAGCGAGGTTTCCAGCAAGTAATTATACGATACAGCATACCGACATAGCGATACGTAGACACATATACATATACAGCTACAAATACATATACATATACATAGACATAGACTTAGCCATATACATACACATAGACATAGACATACAAGTGCATACAAACTACTAGCTAATAGAATTTCACACTCTGCTCTAAACATTCACATACCACAGCGAAGACCTTTCTAGACAAAACTCTACATTTTATTTCATTTGCTCTTCTCCTATGAAAGACACTTAAATGCTTTTAATAATCAGCCAATAGCAGCAAGAACAACCAAAATACAATAAATACAATAAGGTCGGCAAGCAACGACTCTCAAATGCGCTTACCAAAGACAATTTGGAGAAGAATATAAAATAAAATATATTTCATCTAAGTATATATTAATAAACAATTTTAACAATTTGAGCAAAGCAACAACTATTCTGAATAGTTTTATTTGAAGGACGGACTCAAACCAGTTTATTACTATATCTCTAATAGTATGTATCTTTGGCAAGGGCATTTATGCTGCATAGAACATTATTCATATTCGAACATCTATTTATAATTCCAACTATTAATTCGTTATATAGAGAAGTCGCAAAATGGAACAACAATACACACAGCTAAACACTCACACACACAAACACTAACACTCATATATATATATATATATATATACATAGAATTGTTAATGAAACGCAAGATATATTACGTCAAGTTATTTAAAGAACAAACCAAAAACAAAAGTGAAACCAATGTTCTATTTACTAAGTTCAAACTGATAAAACAAATTAAATACACAACAGCAACAACAACAACAGAAAGATATATCATTTATTGCAAAATGTTGACAAGCAAACCAAACTAAAAAGAAACCAAAACACAAAATTAATTAAAGCAAATGGCTGCGTGAAATACGCTTCGAATATATTGTATTTTAATATCTCGACAAAAATCGAAGGTCGAGAAACGACAATAAACTGTGAAAATGAATATATATAAAAAAAAAAAAAGAAATCCAAAAAGAGAAATTATGTAATTATATTATAATATTTAAACAGAAAAAAAGAAGGAAAATTTGCAGAAAAGAAGGCATAAATAGTGACACGGAAGCAGACCTTGAAATTGTGTAAACTACAAATTTAATGAAAACCAACATTTAAATAACAAAACAAAAGAAATATTCATTAAAATTGTTTTCTAATAAAACAAAACGAGTATTCTTTCACTTATTTACGGTATTTTTAAAACACTCAACAGGTTTGCAAGTCCAGAGAATGAGGGAGAGAGATCCCCATTTAAATATAATCTAACTGTGAGAAGCTATGGACTGAAACATTGCTGCTGAAGTTAAGAGAGATGATATAATTTCGATCAAAATAGAATAGAGTAGCTTTTGGTGTCAAATGAAAATATTAGACAATTTTTTTACATTCATATGCCCTTTGTAGAAAAGACAATAGTTACAAGGACTCAGCGAGAAGTATAGATTGATCTTACAAGCCAAAAATGTTTTGATGGTAATATAAGATATTAAGAATATTTTTGGGAAAGTTACTTTTGTGAAGGCTCTAGTCGAGACTGCTCGACAAGGAGATACCCTGAACCCTCTAAGCTGATATTCTACTCATTCTGCACGTATATCAGGTCTAAAAGTGTTCGAATTAGGCTGAAAAACAACAAAGTCGATTGTTATCGGATGAGTTATCGAAAAAATAAAGCGAACTTGTACTGCCTATGGTATACACGAGTATGCATGCCAAATTTCAGCTCTCTAGCTCTTATATCTTCTGAGATCCTTTTGCTCATACGGACGGACGGACGGACGGACGGACAGACGGACAGGGCTATATCGACTCAGCTCGTCGTCCTGATCAAGAATATATATACTTTATGGGGTCTGCGACGATTCTTTCTGCCTGTTACATACCTTTCACAAAACCATTATACCCTGATTTCCCATTTTCAATGGGTTAAAGGGTATAAAAAAAACAAGAGCGTTGCAGTCGGGCGTTACCAGCTCCGGAATACCCATTCACATCCCATCAGCAATTTAGTAGCTGAGTTTAGTTGTAATACTGTACAAAATGCAGTTTTTCCAATTTACCACGCCCCTACTGGGCGTAGACGCCTCATTTTAGGTCAGTTCTTAGATGGAACTGCAAAATTTAAATACTTACGCATATATATAAATTACAAGGTATTTTTTGATATGCTACGCACCTAAAGAGGCGTAACAATTTGAAAAATCGCTATATCTTCAGGTTCGTTTTTCCCCCTGTGGGCGTAGACATGTAATTTTTTTCCATTAATATTTATAGAATCATAACATTTGCTCACATGTAAAATTTTAATGTTCTACCTTTAAAACTCTAAAAAATTTCAATTTTTGATTTTTTTAATTTTTGATTTTCAGCTTTCTAGCTCTTCATCTAATATGATTTCTAGTATATCGAGAACATTTTATTACTTTATAGATCGGATATATTCCCGAATATTTGTTCCAACTTTCAAGTCTCTAGCTTCAATAGCACCGAAAAAATTGCTTTCATATGGACAGTAACACTTCATATACATAACACAATTGTCTCTGCGATAAAAATTAAAATTTGGATATACATTCCCCAGCCCGAAGTATAAAAGAAATATTTTTATTTGGGGTTTCACATAAAGCGGTGGTATTTTTTTATTTACCATTGATAAACCTTTAATCATATATGGTATGTATAAATAATTCAAACATTTAAGTATTCATTTGCTTATTTATGTGTGGCAATAAATATATTTATGTTAGATGTATGTATATGATGCGTGTGTCTATCATGTCATATCGGGTTCATTGGCGGCATTATTCTTACTATCATTTACAGTTGTTTTCTTTTACTCGCTTGGTTAGTTAGACTTACAAAAAATACGATGTGATTACATACATAATGCGATATCAAGGGGCATACTATGTATTCTTGTTATAGTATATTATAATATTAACCCTAAAATTGAATAGAAATTATTTTACAAAAGTGTGACTTAAATATGGCTAATACTTAGCTTTAGTGCGTTTCTTAAAGGAACCAATGTTATCGACTGTTCGCCCCATCTCAACAGATATTTAAATAAGTAAGTAATATATACGAATATAGTCAAGAGTCGTACAATGCATAGAGTTTCAATGAATGACAGCTGGGCGGGGTATCTAACGTGTACTTGAATGCATGTGCTTGTTGGGCTTCTCATTATACGGTATTATAATGCTAATCAGTCTTCATAACAAAAATAAATATGGTTAAGTTCTCAATTGATGTGCCAACGGTGCGAGTGCCGAATAGGAATTACATTTAAGTTATAGCTTTCATCATATATGAATATGTCTTCTTTCTTGAATCCAAATGCATGCATTTTTACGTGTGTCTAAAAGCCATGTAGAGAGCGCCTAGAAAGATTGGAGTTCTTATTTTTGGGAGATATGTATGGGAGGTGCTTTAAAGTCCGTGAGTTAATGTTGCGTATGTGTGCGTGATTCCGCTGGTAGATGTATTAGCTAATTTCATACAGTTAGTTAGTTCCTTTTATAATACATTAGATATCATCATATTGTCGCTTCGTTACATTACATTTACATTTATCTTAATACATACGAGTACATATGCATGTATATATGTATATATTTGAGAGACCGTATAAAATATGCTGAAGCTTTATTAATTATCGCTACGACGACTAGCTGAAGCTTGACTAATGCTCACGTCCATCACTTTTCCTTTGCAAAACTACGGCGATTGCATAAATTATTTGATTGACAATCGATATTAATCCAGGACTCCTGATAGGGTATTATGTATTCGAGATACGATACAATTTTATGATCGATCGATTCAAGGTTTAAGCGATCTCGAAAAGGTTTATTTGCAATTGATCTTAAAGAAATACACAAGCTCTTAATGCTATTACGGTCTATATCCGATTTCAGCTAACCGAGCTATGGGAAAAACATCAATATTTATATTATCCACTTTGCCAGCTCTTCGGCCTCAGTTTGTTTTTTTTTTTTTTTACTAATAAAACCATGCAATTGCGGCTTAAATTCGTATGCATTTTTTCAGATTAGAGATTTTGTAACGGAAAAAAATTCTAAATGTATTTATATTGATTACTTGATAATAGTTGAGTTATATATATAATCATATATATATATATATAAATAGATATATGCCATATGTATGCATGTGGATTCGCTTAGAGTTAGACATTACGCCAAGTTCTAGTTAAATATATATATTATCATAGATGATATGATAAACACAAATATTATTTATTATCTTACACATTGTATACGAGCATACCGAGCAGTGTGTATAAATATAGAGTTGTATATATCTATGTATATATATAATATATAGTATATGAATAGATGTCCTTTGTAACCTTATGTGTGGGGCGTCAGTTACAGTGGGCGTGGTTTTTTGTGCTACACGGTAGATGTTTGTTATTCAGGCAAATCATAGAATATCTAGGGAAACTTGGAGGTTTACTTCTGCTAGTTAATCAAAAAGCATCAACAGGGATCGCTCAGACCTCAGCAGGGAAGTCCTTGATAATGAGCGAGCTGTGTTGATGCCAGCTGAAGTTTTCGAAAGCTTGTGGAAGATTTAAGATTTGAGGCTTCTATACACTTAGGATTAAAGTACATTTGTATATATATGTATATTTATATATCTGCTTAAGCTTGCTTGTATGCGGTATTATGATGCTAGGGAGCTATAGCTGGATTTGATATATTAGGTGCTTAGTGCAGCTGCGCCGTGACGTAGAGTCCGCAGTCCTGGTCCGAGGCCATGGAGTAGTTGGCCGAGTCCCGATCCTCGTGGATGGTCGGATGCGTCTCGTGTGACAGCTTACTGAAGGCGTGATGGCCTGCCCCGTAGCCGAGATGTCCGTACGGCGACTCCGCCGCTTTGCTCACGTGCGGAAGTCGGCGCAGGAAGTGCGGATTGGAGTAGCGCACGCCGTTGGGCAGCGTCGTGTGAGGCACAGAGGAGCCGAGGGCGACGGCTGCGTTGGCGTAGTGCATGCTGGGCGTCTTGAAGGTGGACACCTGCGAGGGCGGGCCCATTGAACTGGTCATGGCCGAGGTGGAGGCATAGCCGCCGTTGTTGTTGTTGCCGTTGCCGTTGCCGTTGGCGAGCTGCTGGCTGTGACAGCCCGCCGGCAGGGGCATCGTGCTGCAGTGGGCCGTGTAGTCGAACTTCTGCTCAGGTGCGCTGCGCTGCAGCGGTAACGTGGCGCTGTTGACGACGCTGGCGGCTGGGTCGGCGTTGAAGCTGGACATGCGCATGTTGGTGCAGCGGCCGTACGGCTCCTCCTGTATGGGCGGCTGTGGTGGGCGTGGCGGCGCCTTGCAGCTGACACGCGGCCGGATGATGACTTCCAGTTCGCGCTCCTCGCCCGAGTGCACGCCGCTGGAGGATTCGGAGGGAGCGCGCTCTGGAGGCGAGGTGGTGTTGGTGCTTTCGCTGATCGAGTTGGTGTCGCTGCGAGGCGTGAGCGCCTCGTTGGGCACGCCGGAGTCGGCGCGCCGCAGACAGCGGGGTGTGGAGCTGGAGGCGATCTGGTGGCGGCAAGGAAAGGCAACAGAAAGCGTGAGCGAAACACAAAGTGCGGAGATTGGAAATGATTGAAAACTACGGGATATATAGATAGGAACAACTGGAATCTCTCGACTGCTCTGCTTCACTGCGGCGCCTGCAAGTGAAAATGAAATAAAATCAGGCGAGTGTCCTGTTACCCTATCGCATGTTGTCACAGTCTAGCAGCAGCAGACAGCCGGCCAACTGGCGGGAGGGCAAGGCGACCCGAGGCGAGGCGAGGCTGCCCGACCATCCATCAGGCTGTGCATGTCGCCTCCGCACTGTCCTCTCCTGTCACTGATTTATGCTGTCTCATAACGGCACGCATAAATCTCATGCCTTGCCACACAGGCGTCCGCAGGCGTGTCACAAGCCACACTCCACTGGCTCCTGCTGCCTGTGGCCCTGTGGCCCTGTGGCCTCGACTACGCATCAATCGAACCAAAATGTTAATACTGAGCTCTCCCTAGAAGCCAACCTGCGTATACCCTACTTCTTTACTAACTATGCAGAACGGATATCCAGTTAATTTATAACAAGCTGCTGGTCTCCTATTTAATATACATACATATATATTTCTTTTTACTCTACGATTCTCACAAAATCATTTATAATCTGCGCTACTCATGTTTATATCAATTTCATCTAGGTCACTTGCTATAGTGAAATATAAATGAAATATATTGAATTGATATATATGTAATCTACTATAACTTTTCTTTATCTGAGGTTCGCACAGCTCAAATGATTTAACCAACTTGTATACCTATATAACCTCTTTTATATATATTTTTTTTAATTAAAAAGTAATTAATATTCTTTAGCCACTGCCACAATGAATCTTTTGAGCGACAGGCTGCCTCAGAGAGAAGCCGGAATATTGCACGTCGTCTATTATATACTAGCCTATCCAATATCTAACAGCAATCACATCAATAGTTGACTAGCCAAATGGCCCAACATAAAACTCCTCCTGCCAGCCCTTCGGGCTTTGGGGGTGTGGCTGGCGACGCACACCTCGTTGTCCACTTACTTGAGCCTCGTGGGTGTGCACAGCGACGGTGACCGGGGCCAGTGGGTTGACTAGATGATGCTGTTGCTGCGGTTGCTGCTGCAGTGGATGCGGATGTGGATGTTGCTGCAGAGGATGATGTAGTTGTTGTTGATGCATCTGCTGCTGCTGTTGCTGCTGTTGCTGCTGTTGTTGCTGTTGCTGGGGCTGTGACTTGTGCTCGGGTGAAATTTGCATGATCTCGGGCATGGCCTGTGGGGCGCGTCCGTAACCGGGATGATGTGGATGCTGCACGCTGGGCGGCTGTGGCACTGGCGCACCTTTCACGGGCAGCGGTGGGGGCGGCGGCGGTGGTGATGCTGCTGCTGGCACAGTTGTTGGCTGCGGCGGCTCCAGATCGCGCGTGGATGCATACGTAATGCTGTCGTCGCGCACGCAAGCCAACAACTTGCCCTCCTCGGAGATATTATCATCACTGACGCCGCCCAGCCCGCTCAGATTGGCATAGTCGTGGGCGTGCGGGCGTTGCTGCTGGCTGATGGATGACGGAGGCGCCAGCTCATCGTATTCGCTGAGGTGCAGCAGGCCGCTTGCGACGCTGCCGCTGCCCTTTGCCACGCCCACGCCCACGCCCACGCTCACGCCAATGCTGGTGCTCTTTATGCTGCCCATGGTGATGCCCACAACGGCGCCGGCGGTGGCCGCCCTTAATGTCGCGTACTCGCCGTCGTCAATTTCCCCCGTAGAACTGGCAAAACATAGCGAGGTTCCACGGCTCGTATGGCTGCATTGAGTAAGAGTGAAAGAGATAGAGAGAATGGAAAAGAGAATTATATTAGAATGCGAAATTATTCAGTTCACATGAGTTGACCACCTTGTGTTGCACATTGGTTAGTTGGAATTGTTTTTAATTAGCAACAACAACAACAACAACGACGACACGAAATGTGAGTTAAATGTTAATTTCCATTGAAAGTCAAGACAAATAGCCTAGAGTTAGTAGTTCACGGCTAGTTCACGTCTAGTTAATTGACATTTACTAACAAACAACAAAAAGTGAAATGAACAAAAATCAAGTTTTCAAATTACAAATAATAAACAAACAATTTTATTGACTTGAAGTCAGAGAATAATTTTCAATAAAACAGGCGACAAGCGGAACAAAAATAGTTTCCTTTCTTTCTGCTGTTCAGGCATATATATATAAATACATATATATATATATATATTTTTTTTTTTTTCAATTTTATATAAAACTTTTATACATATACATATATATAACACTCTTTATGGTTGGTTGTATGTGAAATACATTTATTGAAAATTGAGAACAAAAAACCCCAAATTAAAATGCAAATGGAAAATTGTGAAAAAATTGATCGCAATAAAATTGATGGCATATACACAAAACAATTTTTATTTAAATGTTGGTAAGTGACTGTGAATGTGCATATGTGTAGGAGTGTGTGTGTGTGTGCGGAATATTAATTAGGAATGTTTGAAATGGAACGTGCAAAGTAAACAAAACAAAACGAAACACAACACAATTAGAAACTAGATTAGATGACTAACAAATTATTCTGATTAATTTAGTATCTTTTTTACTTTGTACTGTGCTGGGTGGGACTGATGTTTGTTGGTGGTGGTAGTGGTGGTGGTGGTGCGTGAGAGAGAACCAAATGAAACTAAACTAAGTACAGTGTGTGTTGAATGCAGTTTTCAGATTCGTAAGTAAAACGGACAACGGGCGCTGCCTTCACTTTTGTTCTATTGAATTTGTTGTTTTTTGTAACTAAAAACGATTTTTTACCGCTTGCCATCAGTTTGTTCTTGGTCACCAATTAGTAGGACATCATCAGACGTACTCGTAACTTCGTTGAAGGTGACCTTCAGCTTCGGCGAGCTGGGCGTCAGCTTCGGCCAGTAGATGTCCTCCTGGGCCACCAGGCCCATGCTCATGCCCACGCCCAGTTCCGTGCTCGTGGCCGTGCTCATCATGTCCGGCTTGGAGGTGGCGCAGTCCATGCCATTGACCGTGGTGCTCGTCGAGTTGCCGCCGCTGCTTGAATTGCTGCCCGTTCGTTGACCGCTGGACATGAGCAGGGGCTGGGCGCTGGCCTTGTTCAGCAGACCGCCATACGTGTGATCCAGCGGGGGCAGCTTAAAGTGCCAGCGTCGCTTGATGGTCAAACAGAGCCAGACGACAATCCACAGCAGCAAATGGATTACTCCCACCAAAGCTGCACAGGGAAAGAGAGAGAGAGTGAGTGAGTGAGATAGAGAGGGGGAGAGAGAAAGTGGACTATAAAGAGAATGATTAGGTCGCAAGGCGTGCCCATTAAGAGGGAACCCGATTGAGCCCTGTAGTCATTCGATACGCGCCCTTTGTCCTCCCCAAACTGCCGATTAATGCGAAATCCCCTAAAACAACAACCGCTAATTGGCTTATGACATGGCCAAATAGACAACAGTTCAAGGTGTTGCCATGGCTGGGCTTAGGGGAACTTGTGTGCCTCGTATGGGCTTAAATTCGTTTGCCCTATTTTGATACAAATTGTCAACACACTAATTATTATAGACTTGATCTGATTGTTGTTGGAGTGCTTTTACTTTTAAGTGGTTTGCTCAAATATTTATGCTGAATTTCATATTTACTTTTAAATAGTCAATGCACTATGGGTAAAAAGACCGAATTTTTGGCATTAATTGTCCCTGAAGTGATAGAAGCTTGAAATTTTGTATACATATTAATATGAATTTTTTATAATTTCGTTTTTTTTTTTATTTTAATAGAGCCACACCCCCACCCCTTTCGCTTATAGCATCCATCCGGTTATTGCAACGAATATTCTAGTCCCAGACAAGCTTTTACCGTGAATATTATTTTAGTTATAAGTTTCTTATTCCAACTCAATACAATTCATTCAATATTTCTTTTCATCCATTGCAATGGATGTATTTCCATTGTTGAATTGCTCTTTCTATCTGTCTTGCATATAGAAAGGGGCCTGAGAAATTATTCCTCTTCCATTGTGTTAAGTTACCGGATATGAATGGCATGGAGTCTACACATGATAAATGAATAAAATTATTGAAAGCCGATACTGAAGCTTTTTGTTTTGGTAATGACATATTTAAATGTCATTATCAAAGTTGGACTGTTAAAATGTGAAGTTATTAAAGAGTTAAGTTCCGCAACGACAGCGCAGTAAGCCGGGCGCAAGGCCCAGCTGCAATGTTTAATATTATTCTATACATTTTCTATATGCTTCTATGATACATATATATTCTATATACATATGTATTTAGCTCAGTTTCAGGTAAATTATTTTCCGTTGCATTGTAAGTGAACTCACCTGCCAAGAAGGTTGGACAATGCAGATTGTTTTTGTAGGTGGCGCTGAGGTCATTTAGCAGCGGGGCTTTGACAACAGCCAGGGCCAGGACGAAGCACAGGGATGCGCAGTGGGCGAAGTAGATCCACGTTTGGCTCGCCTTCAGCGTGATGATGGAACGGTCTCGCATGCGTGTGGCCAGCCTGCCGTGTCCATACAGGTACATGACCATCGAGGAGGCCAGCACGAGCGCCGTGGCCAGCAGATAGAGAGCCAGGGTCACGGTGGCATTCAGTATGAGACCTGGCTGATGCACCGGCATGGCTTCCGCATAGATTTGTAGCTTGTAGAGATTGGAGACGCCCACGTAGCCGAGAATGACGTCCAAGGCAGCGACAATCATCTGAAGGCTGAAGACGCAGGCGAACGACTTGGACGTATTCCAGAAGACGGCCGGATAACGCACGGACCACACGAGCAGCGCGCAGAGTAGGTTGACAAACTCCGCACTCGGTGGCTGGGCGAAGATGGCCACGTCGATGGGCTTATCGATGCCAAAGAACAGCTGCAGCATGCCGGCAAAGCCGTCGAGACGGACGTACTCGTTGTTGTTGTTGTTGCTGTTGCTGTTGCCGGCAGGAGCTGCAGCTGGCGTAACAGCTGGCAGCGCTTGGAAGTCCGCATCGTCCAGATCCAGATCCAAGTCGTCGTCCAGCTGCTGCTGCTCACTCGACTTGGCTATGAACTCACTGGAGTTGATGCCACTGTCGCCCAGCATATATTCCGGCTCGATTTCGACGCCCGACTTGGCCGCGGCGCGCTTGGAAATGCGTCGCTTCTGCGTCTTGGGCTTGATGGCGATAATCTTGGAATTGGTGGAAATCGGCGTTGAGGGTATTATTAAATCTGGCAGCACTTCGGTGCGCACACGATGAATGCTGCTGTCCCGCGTCGTAGTCTCCTCCTGCTGCTGCTCCTCCTCCCTCTGCTTCATATAGCTCTCCTGCAGCGCCTGCTCATGCGACGTCACATGATGGCGACGTGGCTGCTGCTGTTGTTGTTGTTGTTGTCGCTGCTTGTGGTGCTGCTTGTGGTGCTTGCGACTGTGCTTGTGCTGATGTTGCTGGTGCGGCAATTGCTGTTGCCTCTTTGCAATTTCTGTTGCGGCTGTTGCAGCTGCTGCTGTTGTTGTTGTTGTTGGTGGTGGTGGGGGTGGTGCTGTTGTTGTTGTTGTTGTTGTGGTTGTCGTCGTTGCTTTAGTTGTTGTGGTTGTACTAGCTGCCGTTGTTGTTGTTCTTGTTGTTGTTGCCCTAGTGCTAGTCGTTGCTGTTGTAGTCTTGCTGCGCGCCTTATCCAGTGTGCCCAGCCTTTGCCAATTATCGGCTCCTGCATGTTTCTCACTGCTGGACCCGAAGTCTGGCATAATGATAGTGCCCCCATCTCTGCCCACTTCAATGTCATCACCATCATCGTCATCGTCATCAGCATCAGCATCAGCACCAGCATCAACATCAGTATCGTCATCATCATCGCCACCATCATCATCATCGTCAGTACCCAACAGTCGCTCATTGCCCTCATCAATATTTCGATTAATTAAATCGGGCACTTCAAAGTATCTTGTCTTGCCCGCAGCTCCGCCGCCTCGCATTGTTGTCTTGGTTGTTGTTGCCGTCGTCTTGGCCGCCTTTCTGCCATTACGTCCATCCTTATCACGTGTCAGCTCGAACAAATTATTATTGATGCCTCCGATGCCTCCGTTGCCGCCGCGCACAGCCGTAAACATCGTATCGTTGTAGTAGTCCTCCTCGTCGTGCTCCAAACTGTTCGCAGTTACGTTTGTCGGTCGCTGCGGCTGTGACTCCTGCTGCTGCTGCTTTTGATAGGGCGGCGTCGGTCCCACCACCGACATGGCCATCAAATTGCGTCTATTGATAACAACAAAGTCCAATTCGGTTGCCCAAACTTGTTCTGCAATTGGAAAGAGCGAGAGAGCAAACGGAAGCAGGTGAATTGGATGCGTTTAATTAGAGCGAACTACTTCATCCCATGCCTGACTTGCTGGCAACACAACAGAACACAAATTCGCTTTGAACTATGCCATAACAAAGCAGCGCATGTTCAGGGGATTAGTTGCAGGGCGCCTCTCTGTGTCGGACACAATCACTCAGCCTCTCACACACACATAGACATTCAATTGAACACACACGCGCCTGCTTTAAATAAATATGAAGGCAGGTAATGAGCATTTGAACACATTGAACCAAACAGGCAAACACCACAAGCTGTTTCAATTTCCACTCAGCAATCGTTAATTAAATGGGGCGTTAGTAAGAGATTATCTCCCATACCCTGCACATAGCTGGCAACGGGAGCTGATTGAGTATAAGAACTGTAACCCAATATGCTCCATGGCATTAGATATTCAAATCAAGTACATAGTCATGCCCTTCTAACGTAACCACACCTCACCGCCTCAAATATCCTGTTGCTAAATTATCGACGTGCAATCAACCCGACCAATTGTGCAAATGTGCCGAACTCGTAATATTCGTACATTGTTCATGTAGCAATTACCAAACTAATGAAACTCTTAAAATAATAATCTTTACATCCACAAATATGCATTGTCTCTTGGTCTAATATCTCAAATAAATAATCCAAACGACTGCAATAGCTTAAGATATACTCATTTATCTCTATATCTCAGCCTTTCCTCCATTCCAGTTCAAATTGATACCTATTTGAATGAGTTGGACTCAACACTGATTCACAATGGTAATGGAAATTTTAAAAAAATACAGGGTATCTGATAGTCAGCTTCTGAAACACATGTACACGAGCATATAACATACACTTAAGCTACGCCTAGTCAATTCCATGAGCTTTACGACGCCATTTTGGATGCCACAAAAAGTGTTGCCTACATTTGGGGGCTGGCAAATGCGAATGCTTAGCACTGGATAATATTGAAGTCCCGTTGGGCTAATTAAGTGCGCATTTACAGCATATGTTAGGGGTTTATGTGCCATTTAACGAGTCTCGACAGCAGCTACCTTAGCAGGAGGCTCAACCTTTGCTTTTAGCGGAACCCAACGCTCATGTTTATTACGGTCCAGCTCGAAGTGTTTCTCTCTGTTGCTTTTTGGCTGCCGTTAGCGCAGCTTAGGAAATTTGTTTCTGCTCCAGCGGAATGTGTGCTAATGAATATGAATATAAGCAGAACGAATACAAGTTCAAATTATTCAAGAATTAATTAAATGTGATGGCCATAAAAAAAAAAAACAAAGATTGCATATTCAGGGGAAATAATCTTGGAATAATTTAGATAGTCAGCAGGCATTTAGCTTTGATATTTCTACACTGAAAAAAATTGTAATTTCCCAAAAACTAAGCCCACGATTTAATATTGTTTAATTAATGAATTGATTTAATTCGTCGAAGTCGCGTTTTGTAATCAGCTTAGGTCAATTAATGGATTTATAAATTATTTCATAGATAATACAAAAATTATAATTGTATAGCTTTTATGGCTCAAATCCAGGCAACTGTTTACTTATTCAACTAAATTAGAATACTCAGATAATTTGCTTATTTTATGGATCTCGCAGCGTTCTGAGAGGGGGCGGGCAGGCCAGATACTGTGGCCCAGTTAATAACTTGAATAGCGACACAAAATTTGCCAATTTAACACTTTCATAAAATTATTTATTGGACAAGTTGCTTTAAGAGCAAAAAGAACTGACAGCGAAGCCCCTCGGCGGGCGGTCGAGTCGACAGCAAACAGAGCCAGCTCGGAAATAAAAGACCGAAAATTGCCGAACAAATATTAAAGACAATGGGCTGGGTGATGGGGTGACCGTTAGACTGATGGAAAGGAAGGGCAGGGAAAGGGAGGGATTGTGCGGGATTACACAATGGCTGCCATAATAATATGTCGTCGTTGGCAAACGGCAAGTGGCTCGTAAAACCGACAACACCGAAAATCTGCAGATTAACCCGGCGGCGATGCCCTCGTCCCGACGCTCTACCTCGCCTCGATTATGGCAATGACAATAACAGCAGCAGCACGAAGAGTGCGAAGGACAACGGAAGAAGGAGGAACGAAGAGACGAGCAAGGCAAAGTAATGAAAACGCGCAAATCCAAGACAAGCAACGCCCACTGGCCAGCTTCCCTGCTGTGGGTAATAGTTGCGATGCCGATAAGCCTCACAGAATGCTCGAGTTCTGCCTCCGCCTACTGCCTACTGCCTGCTGCCTGCCACACCCACACGCCCACTGCCCTGGCTTGGCAGCCCCAGCTCGCGCTCGTTAAGTCTTTAGCATGAATAACGATAAGTTTCATGCCTTGGCCGGTGCTGGCCACAACATCTTGGACCACTTCCGGTACACGTCCAGCCCGGCCTGCAGGCGAGCCCTCAACAGTTTCCCCTGCTCAAGTCGAGTGCGCCAGTTTAGCAGCCTTTCATGCGCTCAATATGGCGCAGTGGAGGGCTCTCGTATTTAGCATCCGCTCTTCTATCACAGTTTTCATTTAGTTTGTCGTAACGGCCGCATTAATTATTTATGAGCGCAACACGGCGTATAAGTGATTTGATCCATAAAACTGTTGCCGGATGCTGATCCGTATGTCCAGCTTTTAATTAAATATTTAAAAAAATATATATATATATATATCTCAAATGTGGTTGGCAACAGATGCCGCGCACTAAAATCAAGAAATTTAAATACAAATTTATTTTAAATTATGCATTACATTTCGGGCGTTTTTATTAAAAAATAAATACATTTTGCAGTGGAGGCAAAATCAAATCGAACTAAAAGTTTCACTTAGCCAAAAACGAGCAATAAATATTTGAATCATTAATTTGGGTTGATAAATAAAAGATGAATATTCAAATATTGATATCCATTGATTGGTGCTTGCCTTGGGTCTTCATTGGCTCTCAACGTGCAACGCTGCGTATACTAGATAATTTTTAAACAGATTTATTTAAAAATTTTAATTCATTATATACATTATATTATTACTATAAATACTTTTTTTTTATAGTTAAATCTGACTTTTTATTTTTTGTCTTTTCTTCTACAAGTTAAGCCTTTTATATATTTCTTTCATTTTGGGTGCACGTGAAATGTTTTACCCTCACTTTAAGCATTCAGAATGTCGTAATATTTTAATTAAATTAGGTAATGCATTTTCGCCAGCGAATCTTACGCTCTGATAGCAGCCCCCTTCCCCTCGCTCTCTGCTGTGAGCTCCTCATTTGATATCTTTTCGGTCCACTTTTTATGCGACTTGCGGGAACTTTTGAAAAAGCATTTTCATTTTATGATTTCGCGCTGCGCTACCTAATTGCCCCGGCGGTACTTTGGCGCGATTTAATGCTAATACAAAAGTTAAGGGAGATTTAAAGAAATGCAGGTCTCTCGCACTCACTTATATAGCTCTTTATTGCGAAACCTATAGTGCGAGCCCGTCAATCAAGTGGCAAAGTTTAAGTTTGTTAATTCCTGGCAGGAAATTATAATGCTCAACTTACAAAGCCCGATCTGCGGCTGACAGCTCTCGGCCCCAACTGGCAATCCAGAGCAGCTTAGAGCATCTTTAAGGATGTCAGCGCAGTTGACAAATTGCAGCGAAAGGCGGCCAAGCGGTAAAATGGCTAAGGCAGCCGCTGCGACAAGGCATTGCACTTAACTTGACCAACATCCGGACCCAGCCTCATCCATTGCCCCATCCCCAGTCACATGCACAGCTGCCGCTGTAGCCCCAATGCCCCCTCAGAGACTGGTCGATGTCATGGCCAGACGCGAGTGCTGGACCAAGACGTTGGCTTTCGAACGTTGCACATTTTATTTGTGCCAATGATTTTCTAATTTTCAGTGCGACAGCAGAGAAGGAGAGGGAGGCGGAGGAGCGCCAACAAGTTGCGCGAAAAACAATGTCCCAGCATGAATCGAACCACAGCCATCTGCCAGGAGCAAGGACAGTGAAAGGCAGAAACAAAAGAAATCGAAATTAATTGAAATATCACATGAAGTGAGCTGAGTTGATTCCGCTGCTGCTGATGCTGCTGTTGCTGCTGTTGGTGCGGCTTTCATCATGGGTCACTCCGGAGTCCAGACTTAAACTCAACTCAGCTCGTCAACGCCTTTATGAGGCCACTGCGACCGCCTGCCACATTTTTAATTTACTCGCGCCGCTCGTTGCCATTGCCAGTGCCGCTTCACTAGCGGCTTTGTTTCCATTTATTTTCCCCACTCCCGGTGCTCCTCCTTTGCTCGCTACCCGGTTCAATAAACCTGCCATACGGTCACTCAGCCACATTGCACATGCAGCAGCAGCAGCATAGGGATTACAATTGCGATGGCCACGGCCGCGGCAAAGTGGAGTCGACGCTGATTCCCGGATTCGCACGAGGACTCGCTTTAAATGTAGTTAATTCTGATTTGCTTGTCTTTAGCCCACATCGCAATTACCTTTCACTCGCTCTGCAATCAATTTTACTGCCCTGCAACTCGATTTGCAATGAGCTGTGAACTATTTGCCAACGCCTGGCAACAGTAAGTAAAACTGTATGTACCTTCAATATTAGTCTGAACTCTTCTATATACATATATGCACCCATTATATAACGAGGAAAGATTTCATTTTTTATTTGTGCTGAATAGGCTCTAGCTTTATGGGTAAGCCAGTACTAAGTGGATCAATCTGATAGCTCTTTTACGGGTCATACACCATCCTTGTTAAACATAGTCATAGAATATTTTCAAAGACATTAAGAATCCGTAATATTGTAACCAAAAGTGTATTAAGAATATAAATAAATACCAAAGCAATGAAAAAAAGATACTATTTGCGAAAGAGATCAAGCTCTAAACATTCAAGAAACAGTTTCCAAAAAATATGTTTCCACTCGAATACGGCGTGTTTGCTGTGGCTATACTAGCTCGCGCTGGAGAATCGATAGCTGAGAACTGAGCGTCTTTTGCTCAGCGACGTCTAGAGTTCGCAATCCAATTATAGATAAACAGTTTTCCATGAACATGATCAGTCAATGACAAGTATGAAACTCTATTCGGGACTGCCCGACTACGATTTTCCTTGAAATCTTCTGCAACTGATATTTCAATAATTCTTCACTTCTTTTCTGCTTTTAGAGAAAAAGTCGATCCGCTTAGGATATTTTCGGATATTTCATATCTGATATCAATATCAAAAGAATATAAAGAATTTACAGCGCAAATTAGTTTACTTGTTTAAAAAACATCCATAAAGTGAGAAAATTTTGATGAACATCGTTTTTATACCCTGAAGACATTGGAAATGGGAAACCAGGATATACTGGTTTTGTTGAAATATATGTAACAGGCAGAAGGAGGCGTGATCTGATCGTTCGTCCGTCTGTATGTCCCTCCGCCCGTCCGTCTCAGAAGACATAAGAGCTAGAGACTTTATATTAAACGCTGATTCTGAGTGTTGTAGGCCATCATTTATATATTAAACACAACAAGAGCTCAATTCCTTATTTCCAAATATAATAGAACTGAAACTTTAAAGGACTTACATCTAAGTATTTTCAAAGCCGACTTCCCTTTGGCAATTAAGTCTACCAAAGCATTAACAAACTATGTGCATACTTAATTTTTTTCCGTTTTTTCCCCTATTTGTGCATTTCCCTTTGGTTTTTTATCACTCATCGTGACATTAGTTTACTGTGCTACGAGTGGCATCACACACACACACATGTGTGTACAAGGTACATTGCGACACTCACACACTCGAACGTATGTAGAAGTACAAACAGAGGCCTGCCAGAGCCCTGAATATCCTGCTTCGGCCTTTGCATCTGCTGCTGCTGCTACTGCTCATTGAGCCAACATTTGCACAGTTTTGGTTCGCTTCGCTGGTTGCCTGGCTGCCCGCCTGCGCGCTGTTAATAACATGGCTTATTGCTGCCCATAATGGGCGTGTTGCCCAGCCGCCTGTCAACCTATTTGTATGTGTTTCCACGACTCTCTCGCTCTCTCTCTCTCTATCTCTCAGTCTCTGTGTGTGTCATGTGTGTTTACTCCTGCGGTTGTTAGCCTGTGTGCGGCCATATTGGGCATGTTCGGGCTTGTTTTTGTTTGCCTGTGGTAGCAGCGGCTCATGCATATGTTTTTCGAGCAGATTTCCCCAGAGATGGCCGTTGCTTTGAAGTGACTTGAGCCGTTGCGCTCTCATGCACATCCTGTTCTCTCCAAACAAGTATGCCCACATCCTACTCTCTGGGATATTCCCTTAAGCTCACTTTGTTAAGCCTGCCCAAACTTCTTGGCCAAACAGTTTTATGTGCTAGCGTTTTGTAGAATGCTTAAATCACACTGCAGTCAAACACTCGACAATTGTCTGACGGCCAATTATGACGGTTGCCCAATGCGCTGCTTCAATAATTTCATTAAAGTGCAGAATGGACACAAATGATTATTTGATTGCAGCAACAAATGAAATTACGAGCGATTCCATCCCTGCGGCTCCTTAAAGTTGCATTTATCAACTGACAACGTACCACGCTGCGTATGCTTAACGGTAATATTGCACCAGCTACAAAGTGTCTGCCGTCTACCGTCTGCCATCTCGTGGCGGAAGTGCAATACTGAATGCAAGTGCCCAATAAAAGCACAATAAAATGCAGCCAAAAATGTCAGGATGCTATCAAATAAAAGGAAAAATGCTTCCTGTTGACGTAAATTGCAACGGAAAGCGCAACTTAAAGGTATATTGAGGTATATTTATGCATGTAGACGAGCAGAAGAAGTAATTTACCATCTGCAAAGCCTCACTTGAATATAGTTTATTGGGATGATAATAATCATTTCATAATTGTTATCATAAGCATAATGAATAATATAAATATGTCATACAAAATCAAACAGTAATAATATTTGGCATATTTTTCAAGAATTCACTGTCTGCTATTGCTTTCACAACATCTGCAGTTTTTTTTTTTTTTCTTAAATATTTTATCTGTACCATATTAAATTTAAGTTGGATTCATTTCACTCTTTGCTGCCATTCGATCCATTTCGACTTCGAGCACAAATTCAGTCAACATAAATGAAATGCCAACTTTCCACTAAGAACAGGGTATACTGATGTCGACTATCTTCGCCTTCCAGTGCGCACTTTCGAGCTGCAAGTGGCGTTTGCTCAGACTGTTGACAGTCGCCAAGTTTATATTGTCAGCACTGTCGCGGCACACTTCAGTTACTTCAGTTAATTACACTTACCTTTCGGCAACAGTCCATTCTCGATGATGCGAGCCTCGAGCAGAAGTCGGGGCAGCAGCAGGCATAGCGCAATGAGGATATGCACAAAGGCTGCCGTGGGTCCGCCGTGGGTCCAAAGGGCGCGCAAGGTGCCACCGCGCGCCTCCTCCTCGAGGCCGTCGTGCGGCGCCAGCGTGCAGCGACGCTCCTTGGCGCTGGTTGCCAATTTGATGCCATCGTTAGCCAAGTTGCCCACCTGCGAAGCAAAGCAAAGACAACATTACAATCACTGCTCACACACACAAGCCTAGCCCTGCCTGACCGGGAGTCACAGCGGCAGTTAGGAATACTTGCAAAGCTGAACTTGAGATTTGGAGAACCAATTGAAATTATTTGAAAAGTAACTATGTATAAAATAGCCAATCTGCATTGATAAGCAAGAATAATAAATAGCAAAGATTGTTAAGAATTGTAGATAAAATATCTTATAAGTATTTCATTTATATCTTATTAGTATTTGATGCATGTAAAACAACATCATCACAACAATGTATCATAAAATAGCACACAATGTATCCTACTATAAGCAATCCTGTGACCCAGGAGAGGATCAGACACAGGCTATCCTAAATAAACATTCCAGCTGTAAATAGTTAAGAATAAATACCAAAATCAAGTTTTGTGAATATCCATATTACATATTTCAACTCATCAAAATATTATTATTACTTGAAAATATATTTAAAACTTTTGTTTTGCTTTATTGTTTAATTAGGTTTTGTTTCCTCTACTTTTGTGTTGAATGGTATGGACTCGATGCTGAAAAGTGTGGTCTTCAGGAAAAACTAATGTGACCGTTGATTAAAAGATGTGTTAAGCTTTACATTAATTCAAACATAATTGAGTTTTCGCAAGCCACGTTGACTCTCTTGCTATTGGCTATTATTAAAACGTAGACGTAGACGTAGTTCTGGTTGCTGAGCCCAACAGTATGAATACTGTGCAAACGTGGACCTTGTCTATCGGCACCGTGTTCGATTCTCTATTTATAGCATTGATTCCTGAATTTTGGTAATTTACGAATATTTATATAAAACATTCCCACTTGAGAAACTTAAATAAAGTAGCTATTCAAAGAGACACATATAGACGCAAATACAATCAAAAATTGAATCATTTAAAATTTTGTGCTGTAGCAACGTTTTTGCTGATACAGCCTTTGTGGCACCCTCCACATTTTAAATATTTTATTTTTCACAATCACAATTTGCTTTAATTTGTTCGTATCTGTACAATAAAACAAGCCGTAAATCAAATGAAAGCTTTTCACGGCAAAGCCAACCCAAAATATTCCACCAAATTGAAATCCCCGGCGAGGCGGATGCACTCAAAACCACACACAACGCCTCCAGAGAGCTCCATTTGCTGTTGTATCTGAAGCTGGAGCTGGAGCTGAATCTGAATATGAACTCGTGGCGTGACGTGCAATTAATAAAAAATAAAATACGTATATAAAACTATGCAAAACAGTGAGAGTAAAATATTAAATAAACTGCTGCGTTTACAACAAAGCAAAAGGTATTGCGGGTGTTTTGCGTTTGCATTTTTATGCGCGAAATATCGTGTATACGACGCGTTGGCGCATAAAAAATGCACGTGACAAATGGTAAAATGAAATATTTATATAACAGCGTGTGTGTGTGAGAGAGAGAGAGAGAGATAGAAAGAGAGTCTGCGTGTGTGTGTGGGGAAAGAAGGGAAACAAAAAAATCACGTGCAGCATATAAATAAATGTGCGCTGTTGGGCTTTTAAATTAAAAACAAGCAGACTTTATAGAATCACACTGAGAAGCGAGAAGACAACCATGGAAAATAGAACTCGCTGCGCTTTAGCTAGCTTAGCTCTTTGTTATTGTTTTTGGTTTAACTGCGAGCTAGCTGGAGCAGACGAGCATGTTAGTTTCGTGAATGACGATGAAAAAATATAATAGCAATAAATAACAAGTAAGAATGCTCTAGCCGAGACTGCCCGACTACGAGATCCCCTAAACTCTTCGGCAACTAATAACGGAGCAACTTATCGATATTTGAAGCAAAAGTCGATATGCGCGTAGTATACAAGGATCTAGGAAAAAAGTTTCAAGTCTCTAGCTCTTATATCTTTTGAGATCGACGCGTTCAAACATACGGATAGACAGACAGACGGACGAACGGACAGACGGACAGAGCTAAATCGACTCGGCTCGTCGCCCTGATCAAGAATATATATACTTTATGGGGTCTGCCACGCCTCATTCTGCCTGTTACATATATTCAACAAAACCATTATACCCTGATTTCCCATTTTCAATGGGTTCAGGGTATAAAAATACTCCCTACACGAACGCATCGAAACAGCAATAGGATCTGTGATCTTGCTTAAATAGATGTTGATTGGGTCAAAATACGTTTATGAGTCGTAAAAGGATCTATTCATTTTATAACACTATATATTGGCAAAATGATAATTGATTTTTTATTTAGCTATTTATATATTTCATTATTTTATATTTTAAATCGAAATCACTTGTTCCTATTTTTCCGAGTATATCTATGATTCAAAAAGAAGTGGTGGATGCACTCATTGGATTCGTTCTCTTATTTGTTTCAATCAATTTGCTGAGGTGAGTTGTCGCATATGTCGCAGTTGGGTACTTCCGATGCTCTTACGTGCTTTTAGTTTGTTTGCCTTGGATTCTTTTATTTCGTTTCGTTACGTTTCGCCGTGAAGCTGCAACAATGATTGCATTTCGCAAAAAGCGAAACGCATTTGAAGTGCACACGCACACACAAAGAGGAGAAGGATCTGCAGCTGCTGATGCAGCTACACGGGTGCGAGCGAGATGGAAAATGCACACCCATTTAGCCAACGAGATAATAATTTAAGCGCACCGACATATCGTGGTTAAAAACCTCTCCGCGCCCTGCTAAAAGAATCAGCACAATCACCAGCATCGCTTTTTATTTACTATATACATATATGTATGTATGTATATGTAACTGCAGTCAGCCCTGAGCCAGTCACCTCAACATACAAATGGCTATGTGTTATGCCAGCCAAAATCAGCAATCTACTTGGCAACTGTGCTAATGGACGCTGTCCACATTTGACTTTCAGTTTTATTTTCCACAACAAAATGAAATAACCCAAGGCTCATTTGAGCTGAAGAGCTCTCGCTATCCTAATGTGCACCGTTAAAGCCGGCTGCCACTCTCCTTGTCAACAATGCGCTGCTTAAGGCATCAATTTTATTCATTGAAAACTACCTTAGCTGATCTGTAACTCAAAGAAATCTTATAAAATACCTATTGATTAACAGAAAATATCTTACAAGAAGTACATTATAATAGAAGAAATAATAATAAATTAATTCATTTAAAGATTAGAAAGATATGTTTAATAATGGAAGATATATAAAAATTTAAAAACATATATATATTTTCTCACTCATACATGTTTTATAATTTGCTTTTTAATTTTATATTTTTTTATATACTTATTTCAAATAATCAGCCATCATCAAATTATTACGATATATTTTTAAAACATTATTCCGTATCGAGGTCGATATTTGTCAAACCTTAAAGCAAATAAATTCGAAGTCAAAATTATAAAAATAATTAATTTCGAATCGTATTATAGATTCACTGCTTTTGGAATCCACTTTCTTCATTCCGTTTCGATGTATCGCCAAATTGAGTTAAGAGCAGGCAACGTTCGACGGGTCCCGAGACATGTTTGTTAGCCAAGCGCTGCCAATTGGCTTGTTGCTGCTCGCAGCAGGAGTAGCAGCAGCGGCTACAGAGCATGATGATCAGCGTGAGTAATGCAACCTTAAGCGAATCCGATAACTATGTGCTCTTGTCATTGCAGAGCGTGGCAGGACAGTGGAGACCCATGCCAAGATAGTGGGTGGCTATCCAATAACAATCGCCGATGCCCCTTACATAGTCTCGATCCGAGCACGCTACTACCACGAGGCAAGCTTTGGCGAGGGCCACATGTGCGGTGGCTCTGTGATTTCCCAGCGGGTGGTCTGCTCGGCTGCCCATTGCTTTGAAATGTGGGTAAAGTTGCTCAGAGTCCCCTTACTTGCCCGTACTCATTACCCAAAACATAGAAATGACACGATGCCGGTGCGATTCAGAGACTCTGAAAACTTTGTTGTCGTAGCCGGCGTGACCTATCTTGACGAAAGGACCGAGTTTACCGCCGAGTATTTGGTAGAAAAGATCATTGGACACCATAACTATATTCGATCCACGCTTGAGAACGATATTGCGCTGCTGTTCCTCAATGGCATCATACCGAATGACTCCTTGTACATCCGCCCCGTCTCGCTCGCCGAGCATCCCTTTAGCCCTGGCACGCTCTGCGCAATCAGCGGCTGGGGCAACCAGAAGATGCAGCTGATGCAGGCCATCATTCCGACTGTGCACGAAGGTCTCTGCTCCTTCATCTACATGTATCTTCCCAGATCTCAGTTATGCGCCGGCTGGATGAGCGGCGGCATCGATGCCTGCAGAGGCGACTCGGGCGGTCCCCTCGTCTGCATGAACTCCCTCACAGGCATTATTTCTTGGGGCGTGGACTGCGGCCGTAGATTCTTTCCGGGAGTCTACACAAACATCTCTTACTTCATACCCTGGATCAAAATGGTTAACGCTACGTTCAATTACAACGAATTCAAGCCCATGAGAAGATCCCTACGGAACAATAACAATTGTTCATTTCGAAATCTCGACTACCTTCGAAATGCTTTGTTATTAACAATAATCATACTAGCTACGTGAAAGAGTAATACCTTATGACATACCTATGTATGTATAAGCAAACCAGATTCGTCCCAATTATATTACATATTGTCAATGAAGAGCTGTTTGAATAATAAATAAATATATGAGTGCTAGTTTAGCTCTGCTGTCAAGTCTTTGATAGGTATTTTCCATAGCAAATGCTGTTGCTTAATTTGGCCTGCTTCTACCTTCAAGTGCAGCTGTTGACTCATCATGAAACAGGGTTCAGAATGTGATTCTCCTGGTGCCATAGAGTCTCTATTCAGTGACTAAAAGTGGACAAAAACTATAGGTTCGAAATAATTGGCTGTAGAGTAGAAGAGAAGCATATAGGAGCTGCCTGCAAGCTGCAAGCTGCTCCTGCCAATACTCAGATAGCCACGCGTCAATGACCAATGTTGGGCTTCGGTTTTTGCCCAGTCATTGAATTGGCCTTTGCTGTTGGCTTTATTAAATGGCTGCCGTGTGATCAGCCCCTCTCATTCCTCTCAATTATCCCATCCCGTTTCTGATTGACTTGCGTTGACTGCCATGCTGTGGCCATGGCTGTGCTCTGACTGTGCTCTGACTGATAGCCAGCTTTTGGTTGACTCCCGACTGGAGTTTTGTATGCGGCGCTGTGGTCTGCGCGCATATTTACATGCAATTTTAAGCCAAATCGTGAGCCACACTTTGGATACACTCATGACGCATCGAGTGCGGCATAGTCTGCACCCGATAGTGCGTTCTGCTGCGCTTTCAATCCACTCTCTCCGCTCTTAGGTTGTCAGAAACAAGCCAATTATCTGAGAGAATCGTGGACAGCATGTCCATGCACTGTTTTTCCCCTGGCTTAAATACAAACAAATACAATTGACAGAGGACACACTCTGCACACTCCACTCTCCATGCTGCTGCTCTCTCTCAATATCTTTCTTATTCTTTCCAGTACTTTTTAAGTGGCATTAATAGTATATGTCGCAAAATATACTATAGAAAATAAGTCAGAAAGCTGAAGACTGCTCGACTGAAGGATCCCCTAACCCCTTTAAGATATTCTAATAATTCCTCTTGAAGAAATAACACATACGCACGCAGATCGTTATAATAACATAAAAATATTCTATTTGGATAAAAAAAATAATAATATTATCTATCTATTATCCTGAGTATTTAAAATACAGAAATATTTGGGCGGAAGGGGTGAAATAAAAATATAACATAAATCAACATTGATTTCCACTTTTCATTGAGATTGGGGTATAAAAACTTCAGATTGTTCCACTCGAGAACCCACAGATTTTCATATACTGTAATTAATATATTCTAAAAATGAATGCAATTTTTAGCATTTTTAATGTTCGTAAATTAAAAGTATTTCTTCCAGGCGAATCAGGACATTCGTTTTCAATATTTGAATTTACTTTTTTTGATAAAAGCATAAATTCGAAATTTGCCTTTATCAATATCCTGAAATTTTAATGTATAATCTTAGATAATTCTAGATGGAATAGACAGAACCGCATAGGCTAAGCCCAACTTTGATTTCGCAATACACAGGGTATATAGAGCCGTTTGCAAGTTATTGTATTTTTCTATCGAGCTTTTGCCAGCGCCATCGTCTGCCATGCACTTCAAATAGACAATAAATAAAGCACTATGTGCTAGACAGAGACGACACCAGAGTGAGATGGGAAATGAAAAAGCCATAATTGCATTTATTATGCTGATAAAAGCAGAGACATGAACGACACATACCTACTCTATATGCGAGCGGGGCCTTCTCTCGGTGTGTGTGTGTGAAAGGATAGCCAACGCAATTGTTGCAATGTATGTGCGTGCTTGTATGGGTGTGTGTGAGTGTGTTTGCTGCATTCTCCACATTGGCAGCCATTTTGTGGCGCAGCACGAGTCAGAAGCTGGCCAGGATAACTGTCCAGGAGCAGGAGCGTATGCCTTGTTTGTTTGCAAATGAATTTAATAACGAAAATAATGCCACTAAAATAGTTTATAGAGCAGCAAAGGATGCACGGCAGTGCGGACGACCAACGCCAACGGAGTGCAAAATAAAATTTCATTATCGTTCATCGAGCTTCAGTTGTTTGCCCAGACAGCCGCACAGTTAATTTCGTGATCCCAAATTAAGTTAAGCCCCACTTTATTTAAAAGAAGAACTCACCTTAAATACGGCCGATGTAAAGAATACGGGCAGCAGAATAAATACTACACCGGAGAGTACAATTTGCAGATTAAGCTCCCCAACGGGCTCGATTTTCCAGGGTATTAGCGAACAGCCTGTAAGTGATACAAATTAATTAAGCCATAAGCGATAAAAATTTAACAGCATTCGGCCGTATTGGCTGTGATAGCGGAGCAGACCTAACACGAATGACTACTGTTAAGTTCACAACTTTCCCCGCAACAGAAACTGACATAGCAATTCAACATTTGCAACAATGTTAACTAACATACTGCCATGCCAGCTCTGATATATCTCTGCTAACAACAGCAAGATGGAGATTTAACAGCAGCAATTGGTGTTAGCTTTAAATCCAAAATGGTGGCATAACAGAAAAAATTTATGTTAAATAAAAATAATAATCAAATCAGAAATGTTATTTCGCATAAGCAGCAATTCGCTTGCTGCCTGAAAATCTCAGAACAAAGAAACCAAACTGTTTTATTAGCTTTGAAAATTAATGTGATTGATTTGCATTAGTAATCATAAAAAATTAAATGATATTACATCCTATTCTTCTATTATCCTATATTAGGCACTTACCGAGGAACCTGTAGGCGCCATGCATAGCCAAATATCCTTGAAAGAGTGTCAACAGCACGCCATACCAGATCGACCAGAGCGAATTCAGGTGCAGATAGCTGCTGGAGTCGTGGCCAGAATTCTGCAGATTCGTATATCGACTCTGATGGCGCTTAGACTTGATGTACTTAGCCTGAAGCTGCTGCTGTTGCTGGCTTAGACTGTTGCTCGCTGCGGTTGCATTTGTTAGCACCGAGTTGCAGATGCTCGAGTTGAGGCTGCCGCCGCCTCCGGGAACTCCACTTCCACCGCCGCCGCCACCGCCTCCTCCGGAACTACCGCTGGCTCCATGCTTGCCGCCCATTTGAAATGGATTTTACTTGCCTAGTCCCTTTGTTTGTCGATTCTCACGCTTTTGTTTTCTCTCTCCTCTCTCTGTCTCTGTCCCTATATATCTCTCTCTCCCCTATTATTTTTTCTATATGTGGCTCAACGCCTGTGCTATGGCAACAAATGTTGACAGTAAATTTCACAGCTATTTGTATTGATTTCGTGTTGATTTTGCGCGTTGATTTTCTATTTGCTTAAGTGATGCTCATTGTTGTTCCCATTGTTGTGTGCCTTGTTATTGTTGCCCCTGGCATTGTTGTTGGCGATACTGTTTGCTCGCTGAAATGCCTCATTTTGTGCGTCCAGCATTTGTTGATTGCTGCCGCATATTTAGCACTGAATATAAATTGGTTTCTCTATATGCGTGCGTTGATTAGTTCTATTGTTAGCTGAAACGAGAAGTCGTATTTGAAAAGAAATGAATTAACTAGAATAGGGCATGAATTAAGTCTCAAGTACATTAGTACGTTTACCTAGGGGCATAGCATAGACACAAAGTTAGGAATAGTTTTAAATAAATTAAGTATACGATATATCCGTCAGCATTTACCATCGTATCGATTTTAATCTCATCTCTGAATTTTTTGCTGGCATTATAAGAATCTAAATACAATATATAAATTTATCTAATTTATAATTTATGAAATGAATAAATAGATAAATAAATAAAAAATAAATAATTAAACATGTAAAGATATTAATTAGCAAATAAATATATTTATTAGTAAATGAAAACAAATACAAAAATTTTTTCATTAATAAATAAGTAAAGCAATCTGAGTTCATGCCATTTATTTTAATAACGTGTTTCTTCTATTTCATCCATAAGGACATTTTCATTTAGTTTCACTTCATTTTCATACACTATTTTTACAATTTATAGGAAAAATAATAAATAATCTTAGGAGCATTATGGGGTCTATGACCCCAGCTGAGTTACATATTTCGCACCCAAGGAAATGAAAGAAAACACACGTACTTTATAGACCTCTTAAAGCATTATTCCAGATCTGAATACTAACAAGTAAGCGTAATTTGCAACTTTATGAAAATAAAATTTTAATTCCGTCTGAAAAGTGGCTTAAAGCAGCCGTAAATCAATCGGCCGAGGCGTTGCCTCAGACATTCGCCCTCCTTCCACGGGCCAGCCAGCAACAAGCGATTGTTTGTCATGTGGCAGTTGTTGCTGTTGCAGATGGCGCATGATTAAGGCGTCGTGGCAGACGGCCAACAAAGCAAATGGAGACCCGCGGGAGCCACTGCTTCGGAGGTACACACATGCGTGTATATGTATATGCCGTTCCGTGCCATGCCGTTCCGTTGAGTCCCAGTTGTCTTTGTCTGGCGCTTGTTTTATGCGTCGCGCCTTTGAGCCGCAACATGCATAATTATAGACTACACATAGGCCCGAGCCGGCGCTAATGGCAACCAGGTAGGCCTCGTGCATTGCGTGTTCCGGCCGGGATTTGCTGCAAGCCTACAGCAGCAAGAACACAACCGCAAAGTGTTTACGAGCTGTTGTTGCTGCCGCAATACTCTTGTTTTCTTCTTTCTTTTTTTTTTTAATTTTTAACAAAATGTTGCGTTTTGTTTAACAAACCATCAATTCATGCCAACCAGCCAGCAGCACAAATATTCAAGCTCAATTTGTCAAGTGAATATTAAATAGTGTGCTGTTGCATGTAATAAAAACTGCAACAGTAATTATGGCCAATGTGTTGGCAATGTAATTGGCAATTGCTAGGGCTATTTGCAAGTCATTAGGCTCGGACATCAGAAATCTTTTGTGTGCATATATAGTACATTTAAGCAAAAAGTATACAAATTTTACAAGTCATTTATAGTACCTGAATAAATGCAATACAGCTATCCATTTATCTATAATTATGAAAGCAATTATTGATGTATAAAGTTAAATTTTCCAAATATATATACGCCATCTACCTATATAAAATAGGAAATGTATGCTTAGTGATTAAATAGCTGCTTACCTCAAGACACAAAATAAATATAAATGTTTGGTAAATTCCACACAAAAGTGAAAACAATGTATTGTTTGTGCTACATTTACAGCTTAAACCACAAATACAGGTGAGTGTATGTGTTCAGCTGTGGCATGAAACATATTATCTGGTGCTTCAATAGCAGCTCGACAGAGCATCAAGCCGGGATACACATAACGAACAGCAGCAGCCTACCACTTCGCATCCTACACAAACCCCTTATACACACACATATAGTCAAGACACATACATGTGCATATTTGTGTAGTCTTGAGCTGTGTCAACAGTCCAGCTGACAGTCGACTTGCTGCCGGCTGAGCTAGTCGCGCTTGGCAGAGGACTTCCTCTTACATGTTGATATTAATTTTATGTTAATTACAATCTTTACATGTTTGCTCGCCTCCCACACTCAGGCCATGTGCTTGGATCCAAGCTCTGGTTCGCCACTCCGAGGGGTGGCTCCTGCTGTCTTGATATGCTCTGCATCAGATTAGCCTGTCGCAAAAGTCATAAATGCAGATGCCGACATTTCGTTTGTCCCCCTTGGGGCATTTGCTTTGTTTTTAAGTCCCATCTCAGCCACTCGTCAACCCTCCCACTCTTGGCTCTGCAGCGTTTACCCCAACCGCTTGGCAATTTGTCGCGTTCGCACGACCTTAACGCAAAATGAAACAGCCACTTTATGGCTTGTGTGTGTGAGTGTGTTGGAGCTCTGAGTGTCTTTGGTATGCATCTCTTAGTCTGCGACTGTGTCCTTTGTGACTCATGGCGTGAAATAAAAGTGAGCTCTTGATACCTTCAGCAAAACAACAGTGTGGATACGCTAACTTTTCTACTCCTTGTTGCGCGTCGGAACATCTACTTTCAAAAAACGTCATATCCATTAGTTTAATACCTTTAGCACTCCTATAGAAAAGCCAACCAAATAATCTTAGTAAACGTGTCTATCGAAATATTTATGATATAAACTCACATGAAATCAAATAGGTGGGATTACTAATAAATAATAAATAATAAATAATAAATAATAAATAATAAATAATAAATAATAAATAATAAATAATAAATAATAAATAATAAATAATAAATAATAAATAATAAATAATAAATAATAAATAATAAATAATAAATAATAAATAATAAATAATAAATAATAAATAATAAATAATAAATAATAAATAATAAATAATAAATAATAAATAATAAATAATAAATAATAAATAATAAATAATAAATAATAAATAATAAATAATAAATAATAAATAATAAATAATAAATAATAAATAATAAATAATAAATAATAAATAATAAATAATAAATAATAAATAATAAATAATAAATAATAAATAATAAATAATATTTATTTCTTTAAATCGTTCTAAGTATCTTCTAGAGTATTCAGACTTCGGCTACAGAAATTATTCACTTTTTACTGTTATCTTTTTGTATATGCACCTTGCTGCAAATGAAAAAGTTCACTTTACTGCATTTATCTGGTTTGAGCATAGTTCTTGACTGCATTGTGGCCACGACGTTCCACGACGTTCGACTTTATCTGCCCCCAAGCCCACTTGGCGCTGCGCTGCGCCGCACACCGCCAACCGCATTAGCCGCCATTACCGTGCATGCCACACAGCCACTTCACATGCCACCGAAATATGCTAAATGGCACTTGAGCAGCAGTCGAGAGCATGCCCAGCCCGCGGATACACTCTGCTGCTGCTCTGCATGTGAAGAGGCCATAGCTAGGCACCACCCCCGATTACTTTTGGCAGTTTGCCTTCAAGAGACTCAAGTCCACTCACGCTAATTTAAATGGAGAGCCCAGCCGCCTGTGCATGGCTTTCACTTCGATTCGGGCGCTCCCCTCACGAGCAGCTTTGGCTTTTTGAAGTTAAATGAAGTGGGCGAAGAACAAAGAAAACAAACAGAAAATATTGTTGGCCCGTGCTCGCTGCACAAAGAGTTGGCCAAACACAGCTGGAGCGCGTCTTTTTGTCACAGCCCGGTTGCATGCCACGCTGAGTGGCAGGCACACAGCCAGGCCAGCCTGGCAAACCACCAGACGTTGTCAATTTTCATTTTCTACATTCATATTTCCATACATATTTAGCGATTGACGTTGATGCTGGTTGGCGGTATCCATTCAAAATGAGTTCATGACTTGAGCAATTCCTGCAACATTTGCTTCATTTGCATAGCTCGACGAGCGGCTCCACTTTGTAGCAAATATTTTTGTGCACTGCGGAATGCAGCTGCCTCTGATTCTCCGACCCCCAAATCAAACTCAAAACAAACCGCTCAAGGAGGGCTGGGGATGCTGTGGCAAGTTTGTTTTTGGGGCGCGCGACAACTGCTTCGTCTCACCACCAAGCTGCATTGCCAGGGTGGCAGGCAACTCTCGTGCCAGAAGAAAGAAACAGAAAGAAATGGGGAAAAATACAATTTTGTGCAGTGCTGCAAAAGCAAAAGTTTAACAACGATGATGAAGGAAAAGAGAGGGGGAAGGAAACGTGGCATGTTTTGAATTGGATTTACACATGTGCAGAGCTAATACGTGTCCTGCACAGCGACGTTTTTCAATTTCCAGCAGCCGCAGACGTGCGACAACATTGCAGCAAAAAATCGTTGCCTACTTTTTGCGGCACGCAATTTAAGTGGGTCAACCACACAATAACTATGATTTATTATAATGCCAGTCCCAATCTTACCAAACTAAACAATGAAATTCAAAATAGATTTAACGCGAAATGCAGCTCGAAATTTATTAGCGCAATTAAATTGTGTCAAAAAAAGAGTATTCTGAAATAAAAGCGCATAAATTGCGAGTACATAAATTAGCCAACAAGCAAGGGCTAAATCAGCGCCGTTGCACTCGTTTAACAACACCAACAACCACTCTGCAGCCAGTAGCCACCAGCCAGCACACACCACCCAGCAGCGAGTGGTCACAGCACCGCATACCACCACCGTATAAAAAACATTCGACAGCACGCATCGTAATGCGTTGAAATGCGTCGAAATGCCACCAATTTTGTAGAGCTTAAATTGCGTTAGACATCGGACGAGAGCGGAGACGAAAGCCAAGCTAACCACCCCGATATTAGCATTTAGCGAGGGTGTGTCTCAATGCACTGCGAGAAATCTCGGCAGACATAAACAAATGAATGAACGATATACATTATTATGTATAGCATTCAATGAACTATACTTCAATAAATAGCTCTTCTGAGATACTTAAGTATTCTTTATATTTCTGACTATTCAATTCAACTTAAAGGGTTTAAAAGTATATTAATATTATTTTCAAAAAATCCACTGTTTTTGTTTTAAATTTTCTTATATTTATTTAAGCTTAAATTACTTAGATTGCAGACTTCAAAAAA